AGTAATGACCCCTTAATTATGCATTATGTGACAGTCTTCAGTGTAAGAATCAGGCAATTTAGAAGAATAGCAAACATGGCCGAAAAAAACCCACAGACCTAATCATCCTGTATTGAAGTTACCCTCACCCAGGGTTAAAACTGGTAGGTCTCTCGTTTCTATGTGTCTGGTAATACGAGAAATATCTAGATAACTTTTGGTTAGAAGGATAGCAAATTACGGAGTTAGCTCCCCTTAGTTGGTAATTTCTAGTGCATTTCAACCAAATTATATCTTGAAATACCAGACCAGTAAAAGGAAACGAATGTTTTATTGGTGCTACATTATACATTTTGAACTTAAATTAATGTAAACTTGAGTGGGTTTTTTGTTTGTTTTTGTTTTACCACTGCCTGATACTTAGGCAGATAAGCACTTTAAAATTGTGTTGAAATATAATTAACTTTGGTCCCCCCTCCCCCGATTCACAATTGTTGTGTGTCAAGGGATTCAATATCATCATTGACATCTTTTGGTTACAAAAACATTTTGGATCGTACGTTTTTCCTCAAGCTTTTAGGTCTGAAAAATGCACAAAAATCATCATATTTTGAAAATATTTCCAAAATGTGCCGATTTTGAAACCTAGAATGTACTCTTATGAAGAGATTAACCTAGTAAAATAGACCAATTTAAAAACCAAAGTATGGCCATTTAGACATTTTATGGTAAAGTTGAAATTCAAGGCCATATTTTGGCTAAAGTGAACTTTGTCCTCTTTTTATTCACCTTTACGTCAGACTACAGGTGGCACCCGTCGTGTAGCTCGTAGTGAGTACAATTTTTTTGGTAAGGAGCTGACCCATGATAATGCATATGAAGTCATATAATCATCAAACACACTGGCTACTGGTACACATGTGAACTGTCAGATAAACAACGGCGATAAACGGTTGATACAATATTGATTCCAGTTCACTAGACCCGTTTTGTTTTCTGGAATAATTTTCATTTGGTTTACCAAGAAAAACAAAAAGAAAGTCCACACGTAAAACATATTAGAGCATTTAACGGATTTAAGCAACAATTAAAATAAAAAAAACCTTTGTTTATATAAGAACGTTGCAACCTTAGTTTTAAGGACATTTATAATACAATCAATAAAGGAAAGATTTGGAATCACAATGTATCAATTTTTAAAGCCAGTAAAAATGTAATAACGTTCATATTTATCCAGATTCAAAATGAAACCTTACCAAAAAATTCTATCTTTCGCACCTTTAACTGACATCGGTAATCAAATTCGGCGTTAAAATATAGACACGAAGGCCGTACTGTGACCCATAGTTGTTAACTTCTTATTTTTGTATATTTGAATTAAATAATTAACAACTTGAATCCATTGCAATAGCAATGTTGGTATTCGAAACTTTCCGAATTATCGTAAAACTGCCATAAACGACTCTTTTCCCAAGTTTATACACTCTCGACACCAGCTGAGAGAGTGGTGTAAACAGAAGAACAAACTGTAAAATCAGGTGGAAATTTCTCATCAGATAGGCACGAAGCTCAAAAAACATTTAACATAAAGACAACAGACACAAAGTACCGATCTAAGAGTACTCGCAGTTACTGATATCTAGTGTAAAGCCAATAACATCTGACATAAAGACATCAGACACAAAGAGCCGATCTAAGAGTACTCACAGTTACTGATATCTAGTGCAAAGCCAATAACAACTGACATATAGACAACAGACAGAAAGTACCGATCTAAGAGTACTCGCAGTTACTGATATCTAGTTTAAAGCCAATAACAACTAATATAAAGACAACAGACACAAAGTACCGATCTAAGAGTACTCGCAGCTACTGATATCTAGTGCAAAGCCAATAACTACTAATAAATAAATCGTGTTCTCCCAGACTTAAGTATCAACCAATACACATCCATCGAATTTCAGGAAAGACGTCATAAACATTCTGAGAAAAGCATGACCTTATGCAATGACAAAATATAAGTACATAGTATCGACAGGATGAAGGACAACAACTTTTCATAGCAATTCATATTTAACTATGTTTTAGTTTATCAAGAACAAAATCAATGTTATTACCGACAATAACATCATTCAAATATACTATGATGCTGAATTGATATCTTTTAATGATAACTTTATTCAAAGGATCAACGGGTTAACTTTGATTGTATCTAAACTAACGGGCTTTATAAACACCACTATGGTAAAAATTAGGACTTGATATTCCTTTTTTGATAAGAATTATAAGGGTACAGCATAGCTTCAAAATCTTTTTTTTTTTTTGCATTTATGAAAGAATTTTTAAGTTATGAATGGTAATGAGATTCCTGACTTAACTAATTTACCAGTTATACATATATTACGTTCATTGAAATCTAAAACGTCACTTCAAACAATAGCAAAGCGAACGAGTTGGGTAATATACACTCTGTAAAAATGACCAAAGGAATATTATCGTCGATAAAAGGACAATAAACAATAGGGAACAAAACTTGTATCTTTTGTCGTAAATTTTTGTTTTTATTTTCCCGTGTGAAACTGAAATATCCAAATCTAGAAAAGGACAGTTATTTCTGTTAATGTTATATTTATTTAATGTAAGTTCAATTTGCTAAACTGACAAAAACTAATTCCTTGCCGAGTTCTTTTAGCTTATGTTTGATACGAGAAATAGGGCTATTATGGTTGTATTTAGGAGTAAAATGTTCTTTAAAATGTTTTATACGAATACTTACTATTTTCATTACTGAATTGAAAAAAGTATCTAAAGGATTTTTTGTCAGCTTTTTCTCGTTTTATCTATTTCATACAACAAGTATGGAATGAGTCGTGGATGATGTTACAACACTAATTCCAATTAATAATTGACGAGGGGCGATATCTTTGTCCTTTACTGAGGAATGATTTCAACTCTCGGTCCTCGTCGATGCTAAGGTCTCCTGTTATTACACGGTACGTAGTACATTAATCACTAGCCTGTCAACACTAAGGTTGTGAGTTCGAACCCTGCACGCAGCAGGTGCGTTCGACTCCAATCTTAATTGACTAGGATTGTCAGTTTTCCTGCTGAAGGTCGATGGTTCTCTCCGATTTCCTCCACCAATAAAAACTGACAACCTCGAGATAGCCAATAGTACTGAAAGTGGAGTTTAACAATAATAAATCAATAAATCAATACTAAATGTATTGATGAAATAAAATTTATACTGATCGTTACTGAGTTTGGACAAAAAATGTAATTCATAAAAAACAGGAACACGTTTACTATTATATATACTATAAAAGGGGTACATCTATCGCACATAAGAATACCTATAACCTGCCGATAAACTTTATTGCTAAACCGTACATAAATAAATCAAGAAGAAATTTACAGTTTTAGTTATCTCATCTCAGTTCCAGTTAGTATATCTAGCATGTGTACCTTTTTTTTATTACAAAAGAAGGCTTTTAAATGAGTTGCATCACATAAATCTGCAATCAGACTTTTCAAAGGACCATTTGATTAAATAAGAACACTTCTGTGTTTGATAAGATTGTGTTGAAGTGTAGTGTAAATTGTCAAAAAATTGTAAATGTCAACCGAATTGGGAGGATAATCAGAAAAGAACCACGTCATTTATCTAAAACATTCAAAGAGTTGTTTACATCCCCAAAATAATTAATTCCATTATTTAATATGGTCATATGCCTTTTTACAAAAGTTAAAAATAAGTTTTTTAAATTGTAGTAAGCAGTCCATATAAAGACATTCCAATTTCCGGAGAAGACCTAACACTGAGATGTGGTAGTAACATGACTGTTTACCATTAGACTCTCTTTGGGGCGCACAACCTTAAATGTAGATTAATTTATAATTTCAATTCTAAAGAACTTTCTTGTAGTATTTACGTCATACCACAACCACATTGTTGGTTGCTATGTCTGCCGGTACGAACACAAAATGCTTAATTTGTAGGGTCTTAAAAGTTTTTTTATTATGTACTTTTTTAATACTCACACAGTCTCGAAATCTTTTGTACATTACAGACTGATGTGGTATGCTAAAAAGTGATGATTACATACTGGAACTATATATAGCAATAAACTGTGCGTAGACATATAACTCAGATAAAGTGTTGGATAAAACTAATTGATAACGCATTCAAATAGATCAGACATTATGACACTGAAACATAAAGAGAAGACCTTTTTGTCAATTTTCAATTATTCAAAGGGTTATAACAAAACAGAAACGACTATTTTATATGCAATTTTCTTAGATTTCAATTTAACGTAGGTCGATACAAAACTAAAATGACAAAAAATACATTGTATGATGTAAAAAAGAGACAGGGGACACCAAAGGAAAAATTTAAAACATAGAGAAGAAGAAAAACAGACAATACCGTAAAAAAAAAACGACGAAAAGGCAAACAACATTCTACACAAAACACTACACGTAAAACTGTGACGAAACCCATCTCATCATTAAAATATACGACTTATTACGCATGTTTTCCATAAAAGAGGGTCTGGATGGAGGGTGCTTCTGTATTCTTTAATTTTTAAGCCATTTTTCTCTATTCTATATACTTTTCCCCCATTATTCTTTATATTCAAAACCTAATTATTCTCTATTCTTTATTTTTTTGGTCCATTTTTCTCTATTATTCTTTATTTTTTTGGTCCATTTTTCTCTATTCTTTACATTATTTGTCCATTATTCTCTATTCTGTAAACCCCCCTCCACACCCTCATACATTTTTGTGGTAAGAAGTCGCTATGTTTTTGCTGTGCCTGGAAGACTCACTCTCGCACGCCCTCAAAACATATGTTACTTTATACATAAAAAATTCGTTAAACTGATATTTTTAATACCATATGCATGTATATATTTACTCTTTTTAAAATCACTGACCATTGCCAAATTTGTATCATTTCCGTTCCGATATAAGTCGTTGATTAACTTTTAGTTACCTGTACAGGTAAATTGGATTATTGCCAAGCAGCGCCGCCATTTGTAAACAATGTACAATGTGTCCGTCAAAATGGATTTATCATTTTGTTTCAGTATTTTCTTCTTCATTTTTTCACTGATCATCCCATCGACAATTTCGATAAGCACAGGTGAGACCAAAAGACATGAGTATTGACACAAAATTAACCAATCACATAGTACATTATACTTCTTCGAATTCTCTCCTTTCCTCTCCGTAGTAGTTTCCTTCGTAAGGAACACCAATGATAAATGCAAGTAGAATATATTTATGTACACGGTACATATGCATGACATATGTTATCTGTTTTAGACAAATGAATTTATCGGTAAAATTATGAATATACACCCGTGTTATAAATATGTATACTTTTCCATTAAAATGTTGTTTTTTTTTACTAAATCAATGACCATCAATATGTCGGGTTTCCAAACTTTACTGGGCTGTCTTATAAGTCAATTTTTGAATACGTTGAGGATTTCGATATAAAACTAGGAAGAATGAGAAAAGAAATGCTAACAAGTTTGACACATTCTAGTCTGGAACGGAATTTCTGTGGTTCGAAGTTCTAATTTCAGCATACTATTTAAATCGCACGTTTTTAAAAAGGTCATTTTGTAAGTTTTATGGTTATGCTATTCGAAAATAAAGGTGTAGAACCTGAGACCAATAGTCCAAATTCATGTATAATTAGTCACAGGTAAACGTGGTAATGTAAAAGATAAATTACATTGTAGTCCTGGTAAAATGTGTACGGACGGACATATATTACTGGTATAAAAAGTCCTTGATTACAAAATTTAATAGTATTTTTAGTCCAATGTCAGTAATTTATGTCCTAACTGATTTTCGTAAGAATTCATGTCCATGTCATTAATATTCCTAGGTAAAAACGTCCATGTTCTTTATTTTACTAGGAAAATGTGTAAGGAAACTCGGAAATCATTTACTCGCATGTAACCTGTTTATTTACTTTTGACTTTAATTATTTATCCCTTGAAATTTTTTATTAACTGTGTATTTGCATTCAGGTGTCACAGGTCAAATTTATTCGTTCATTGTGTGTTAATTTACGTTTTTTGATTGAGTTAAGCCTTCCATTTGATATTTTATAGTGTGTTTTTCTATGTTGTGATGTTATACTATTGTTTCAGAAAAGGGAGAAGGTTTGGTACCATTAAAACGTTTAATCCCGCTGCAAATGTTTGCACCTGTCCTAAGTCAGGAATCTGATTACAGTAGTTGTCGTCTGTTTATGTAGTTCATATGTGTTTCTCGTTTTTATATAGATTAGACCGTTGGTTTTTCCGTTTGAATAGTTTTATACACTAGTATTTTTTGGGGGCCCTTTATAGCTTGCTGTTCGTTGTGAGCCAATGCTCCGTGTTTAAGGCCGTACCTTGACCTATAATGGTTTACTTTTATAAATTATAACTTGGATGGAGAGTTGTCTCATTGGCACTCATACCACATCTTCCTATATCTATATACAATGGAATTTTTACTTGTTATGTTTTAGTATTTTGTTTAACAGTAGTGCATTAATCTTTTGATAAAATTTATGTTCCCAGACTAATTTTCCTAGGAATTCATGTCCATGTCATTATAATATTCCTAGGTAAAAACGTCCATGTCCTTTATTTTACTAGGAAGAATTGTAAGGAAAGAAATCGTTTACATGTCAACAATGGAACTTTAATTGTAACAGTTATATATTTTAATAATTTGTTTAACAGTTGTGCATTAATCTTTGAATAACATTTATATCCCCAGACTAATTTCCTTGGAACTCATGTCCACTTTCATTAATAGTGTAAAAACGGGGTCTCTAAAAACACCGCAAAGGACCTCCTTTGTGCACAAAGGAGTACAATGTAGCACAAAAGACCACAAAGGAGTGTAATAAGAGCACAAAGGACCTGCAATTGGATTTTTTGCAAGGAAATAATGTAATTTCTGAAGAAAAATGTAAACAAAATATTTTGAAAATCATGAAAATTGCGATTTCTATTATGTACGACTTGGTGTAATCACCGGTACCGGATCGGAACCGACTTTATATCGGACGGTTTATATCATAGCATATGTTTTAGTAATTAAATAATCAGTAGTTAAGAAATATTAATATACACTATTTTATCAACATTTATTCTGGACAAAAACAAAGTATCTATCAAATTTCTCCTACTTTATGAATCTATTAGGTTTACGAGGAACATGTTTGACAAGACGCAAAAATGATCAGTATGGCAGTTCTTAGGCTATGTAATTGACATGAAATTTATAATCCGGATTTCAGAAACGCCAATGTGTAATTTGTTTTATTCTTGACAAAAATAAAGTATCTACCGAAATTTTCTTACTTGACGAATCTTAAATTGCTATGAGAAACGAAAAGTATCGCACGTCGCCATAACAAAATGGACTGCTCATACTGTCTTTTTGTTATTTGTGTCGTTGGCATTCGTGGTTGTTTGTTGTTGACATGCAACCATCATCGATTCTTTTTCTTTGGACCACACAAATTAGTTCCTGTAATATTGATTCAAACACAACCCTTTATCTCTGGCAAAGACCTAAAATATGATATTTCTTTTCAGTGTATTTAACAACATCATGTAACCAGACTGTTGCCATAACAACTGGCATATCACTTCAGTCCAGTACGGCATTACAGTACTCTAATTCCATGAACTGTTATCTCGCCGTCACAGTGCCCACAAATTATAAAGTTGTAGCAGTCTTTAGGTAGGTTATACATATATAAAAAATGCTGATGCAGAAATACCTTCCAAATTGTATATTTAAAATCAAAGACTTTATATATGTTACTGTACTTATTAGTGAACTTTTCTTGTTAACATGGTACATGTACGCGAATTGTATACCATCTTATTCTGGTATAGATTTTTATTCTTATTCCATCTTATCCATGTATAGCTTTTTACTCTTACCAGCCAAATCTTATTTCAAACTGTTTTCTCTGTCCTTTTAAATTCACAGCTTCGCCATAATAACAGATTTTTTTCAAACCTTACTCAACAATTTGACAATTCAATCTGCTTATTTATACCGGAATAAGATGGTATAAAATTATTTAGAATATATAAATTCGTCGTCGTGATTAAACTATGCTTAGTCTATAGCTATGTAAGGTAAAATAAAATTTTTAATGAATGATATCATTCGTCGTTTTGTTTGTTTTTCTTAAGTCAAAGGGATTAAAGTCTCTTCTGATTCGACTTATCCGATGATTTACACGTGTTGTAGTTTACATTAGATTTTCTTGTTAGACGAGACAAAACAGTATGTTTATGGGTCTTACCCCTGCATAAGTCACAAAAGGCAGGGATCGATTTAGACACCTTACGATGCATGATTATAGTATTATTTTTTTAGAGTGATGGATGTCCTTTAAACGAAATTATTTTCCACAATTAAAAGATTGCAAAGCTCGATGCTATATTGATTATGGTACTAGTATATAATTTACTGTCGTCCCTGTAACCGACATTTAATAAAATCAAAATTACCCCTTATTGATTTGAGAAAGTTTGAGTTTAACTCTTTTCCAAAAGGCTAAAGTACTTACGAACATAATTCATGTAAGTATTACTACATTGTATGCACTTAAAAAATCCTTTTTGTAGACGATTTGAAATTGAGGATAAACTACATAGCGCTTGTGTGGACTATGTCAACTTTTATGATGGAACGGACACCTCTGCCAGTCTGTTGAACTCGGATCCTTACTGTGGAAATACAGCGCCAACCAACATAACGTCTACTGGCACTTCACTGACTGTACAACTTGTAACAGACTCAACGGCCGTCTACAGAGGCTTTGATCTTCTACTTTCGGCATTTTCAAATGGTAAGAGACAGGCAAAAAAAAACACCAAAAAAACACACTTATTGTAGATGTACAAAATATGGAATGGCATTAAACTATTTTTGAAAGTTATTAAAATTATGTCATTTTCTCACTAATTTGTCAGCATCAATGTTGATATATTTTCGAATGTTATTATATTACTCTGTAAATAAATTACAGGCAATCTGCCCTTACAAAATATCCAATCTTGGAATTCGGATGTTTGTCGGCTGCTTTTCTTTTTTGTCGAAACTGCTACATCGATGTCACGGAAGCGAGATATAGCGATTCCACATTCCGTCGTCTTCGGCGTCCTAAACATTTAGGTTCAGTCTGTGGTTAAAGTTTTTTAAACATTGATAGCTTTGTCGATCCTTCGTGGAATTTCACGTAAATTGGACAGAAGCTTTTAGGATCAAATCGCAGTATCCAGAGCAAAATTAAGAAATATCTTTTTTATTATTCAGTATTTTAAGGATGAAAGAACTTCGTCTGTTTGTCAGCTAACATTAAGATACAGAATAAGATTAAAATCGTTAAACATCAAACATTTTTTGTCTTTTGTGATAGTTTTTAACTGATAGATGGACTTTTTTCTGCAGTTAACATTTTACAGATAGTATGGGATTATTTTTTTTGTACATGATATCTTGTTTGTACAAACGGTACAATTGTTCAACCTGTTTGATGAGGATTGTGTATTGTAATGCTCTCTGATCAAGGAATCCGTTTACAATTTTATAATAACTATATTTTTTTTAAATGTGCAGCAATATATCGATGAAAAATTATTGATTGAATGTAGTTTCTGGAAAGTCCAGTGGCAAATGGGTTGTTAAATTATGGACAACAAAATCAGAAAAAAGTAGATCCACCTAAATGTTCGGAGAAAAGTTTCAACATCAATGCGGGTAGTAGTTACCAGGGTTTTAAACTGCAGATAATGTGGTACGAGGGTACTCTCTGATCAAGTGGTATCTTGTTCAATGTTCCAATGTCGAGTGAACCTGGCTGTGTATTTCTAAAAACTTAATACTCAAGCAAGAATTCAACACCCCAATTACTACTAAACCTGACTTAATATTTCTGGACCCTGAATAACCAAACAACCCTGGCCTGCATTTTTCAGATCACTACTAGAACACTGCTCTAGAAATCGAAAGATACCGAACGAAGTTTAATGCAGTCCACTATAGGATATGACAATGTTATAACTTTTCTTCTTTTTAATGTGATAAATATCAGATAATTGCTGGTAAATGCATTTTTAGAACTAAACTGCTTTAAGTTGTATATACATTAGACTTCATTGAATATGTGTGTACAAAATCCTGCTTTTACATTCATGTAATGAGATATATTTGATCTTAAGTGTTATTTTCCAAATACTTTTGAAGAAAGTGTGTCACATATCAAATCATCTCTGTGCAATTTGTGTTTTATAGTGAGTCGGTAAGCTTGTTCCTTAAATCTGCATATCCCAGTCTTCCCCTGCTCGTTTTAAAATTAAGGAAACCAAAAAACCAAAGACTATGTACGCTTCAGAAGTCAAAACATTTGTTTAAATAGTTTGTCAAATTACTTGTAGCGCCCTGTTCAAGTGACATATACTTTGATTTTTGTAGCGCCCTGTTCAAGTGACCAATACAGCTGTTCCAACTCACTGTGTATTTCATCTACATTAAAATGTGATAATTATGACCAGTGTGGAGATCAATCTGACGAATCTGACTGCACAGGTAATCATATTAACTATACTGACGAAATCTCAATGTACAGGTTATCATACTACCAATACCGACGCTATCTCACTGCACAGGTTATCATATTAACTACTAGTATACTGACGAAATCTCAATGTACAGGTTATCATACTACCAATACCGACGCTATCTCACTGCAAGGTTATCATATTAACTATACTGACGAAATCTCATTGTACAGGTTATCATACTACCATTACCGACGCTATCTCACTGCACAGGTTATCATATTAACTATACTGACGAAATCTCAATGTACAGGTTATCATACTACCAATACCGACGCTATCTCACTGCACAGGTTATCATATTAACTATACTGACGAAATCTCAATGTACAGGTTATCATACTACCAATACCGACACTATCTCATTGCACAGGTTATCATACTACATAAAAATACTAACAATATCTCACTAAACAGGTAATCAAAGATAACTTACTGACGAAATATCAGTGTACAAGCTACTACGCTAAATATGCTAACAATATCTCACTGTACAGGTTATCATAGATAACATACTGACAATATCTTACTGTACAGGTTACCAAGCTAAAATATACTTACAATATCTCACTGAACAGGTTATCATAGACAACTTAATGACGAAATCTCTATGTACAGGTTACCATACTAAATATACTAACAATATCTCACTGAACATGTAGTCCTAGAAAACATACCGACGAAATCTTACTGTACATGTTACCATGCTAAATAAACTTATAATATCTCACTGAACAGGATATCATAGATAACATAGGACGAACTCTTACTATACATGCTTCCATGCTAAATATGCTAACAATATCTCACTGAATAGATAATAAAAAATTAAAAAAACCTGACGATTTCTCATTGTATAGGTTATCATACTTAATTTACTAAACACTATCACACTGTAAAGGTAATCAAAGATTATACACTGACGAATTCTGACTACACATGTAATCATACTACATATACTAAACACTATCACACTGTATAGATAATCATAGATAACACACTGACGAATTCCGACTGCACATGTAATCATACTACATATACTATACAGTATCACACTGTACGAGTAATCATAGATAATACACTGACGAATTCCGACTGCACATGTAATCATACAACATATACTATACAATATCACACTGTACGAGTAATCACAGATAATACACTGACGAATTCCGACTAAACATGTAATCATACTACATATACTATACAATATCACACTGTACGAGCAATCATAGATAATTCACTGAAGAATTCCGACTGCACATGTAATCATATTACATATACTATACAATATCACACTGTACGAGCAATCATAGATAATACACTGACGAATTCCGACTGGACATGTAATCATACTACATATACTACTGTACGAACAATCATAGATAATACACTGACGAATTCTGACTACACATGTAATCATACTACATATACTATACAATATCACACTGTAAAGGTAATCATAGATAATACACTGACGAATTCCGACTGCACATGTAATCATACTACATATACTAAACACTATCACACTGTATAGATAATCATAGATAATACACTGACGAATTCTGACTGCACATGTAATCATACTACATATACTAAACACTATCACACTGTATAGGTAATCATAGATAATATACTGACGAATTCTGACTGCACATGTAATCATACTACTTATACTATACAATATCACACTGTAAAGGTAATCATAGATATTACACTGACGAATTCTGACTACACATGTAATCATACAACATATACTATACAATATCACACTGTACGAGCAATCATAGATAATACACTGACGAATTCCGACTGCACATGTAATCATACTACATATACTAGACAATATCACACTGTAAAGGTAATCATAGATAATACACTGACGAATTCTGACTGCACATGTAATCATACTACATATACTATACAATATCACACTGTACGAACAATCATAGATAATACACTGACGAATTCTGACTGCACATGTAATCATACTACATATACTATACAATATCACACTGTACGAGCAATCATAGATAATAAACTGACGAATTCTGACTGCACATGTAATCATACTACATATACTATACAATATCACACTGTAAAGGTAATCATAGATAATACACTGACGAATTCCGACTGCACATGTAATCATACTACATATACTAAACAATATCACACTGTAAAGGTAATCAAAGATAATACACTGACGAATTCTGACTGCACATGTAATCATACTACATATACTATACAATATCACACTGTACGAGCAATCATAGATAATACACTGACGAATTCTGACTGCACATGTAATCATACTACATATACTATACAATATCACACTGTAAAGGTAATCATAGATAATACACTGACGAATTCCGACTGCACATGTAATCATACTACATATACTATACAATTTCACACTGTACTAGCAATCATAGATAACACACTGACGAATTCTGACTGCACATGTAATGATATTACATATACTTAACACTATCACACTGGGCAGGTAATCATAGATAACACACTGACGAATTATGACTGCTCATGTAATCATACTACATATACTATACAATATCACACTGTACGAGCAATCATAGATACCCGTACGAAATTATAAGGCGTATTACGCCTGGAAATCTGGCGTAAACCAGGCGTAAGTGGTAGTTACGTGTCCAGATCCAGGCGTAAGGGAACAGGAAACGTAAATTTGTAGTCCTTACGGGCGTAGAAAATATGGTAAACCTGGCGTAAATTGAAATAAGCAAGGCGTAAATTTTCCTACGGGCGTAAAACTGTTGTAATGGCGTAAATCATAATACCCATAATGCTTTGTTGATAAAGGATCATCGGATTTTTTTTTCAAAATTTGGCTCTTTGGTATTATTTTGCAAGCGTTGGACTTATGGCAGCTTTATATATTCAGGGATAATTTGGAAGAATTTGAAATTGGAATTATGGAATCAAATTGATTAATGAAAATTGTGAAATAAAAGGAAAGTAATATACATGGTAAAAGATAATTATGTGAGTAACTAAGTTTTATTTTTTAACAGTAATTTTGAATTCTGAAAACCTTCATCCTTGGATGATAACATTAAAATCTTTCACATTAAGTGAAATTGCAGTATTATCATTGATATTTTGGTTCAAATGACATTAATTTTCAAAAAAAAACTTAGTTAAAATGCTGGTTTTATTTCAGGAAGAATTAATTGCCATAATTCTAATTTAAACTTAAACTTATTTGAGCCAGTGTCTGTCCAATATGTATTTATTTATATAGCTTCTTCAATTAATAGTTAATATTTCAAGTTTCATGTCAAACAATGAGAAATTTAAGCAATAGTACAGAAGTTTGTATCAAATACACAAAAGTACACAGCTAGGGTAATACACTGATTTAAAATAAGTGTAGTATTATGTAAGGATATTACGCCTGTTTTTTTTATTGACCAGGCGTACTCATTTGCATATAACGCCTGGTTTTCTGTGGACCAGGCGTACTCATTTAAATATTACGCCTAATTTTACGCCTGGTTTCTGCCTCAGTTACGCTTGGTTTCCGTCTGGTTTACGCCTGGTTGACGCCTGGACATGCATTCCGTAAACACTACAATGACGCCCTGATAAAGTATGATTTCTACGCCTGGTTTCCGTGTCATTTACGGGCGTCCCATTTCGTACAGGTAATACACTGACGAATTCCGACTGAACAGGTCATCATACTACATGTACTTACAATTATATCACACTGTATGGGTTATCATATATGCATGAATATACTAACGATTTGTCACTGACTGTACAGGTATTCATACTAAATATACTGATAATATTCAACTGTAAATGTAATCATTTCAAATATACTTTCAATATTCGCGAGCTTCCCTCACCAAAAACAACTGACCACAATGATTAAGCCAAAGGCACAGAAAGTGGTGTTCAATACCAGCAAACAAACATACGAACATCCTTTTTTAACAATTGTATAGCCTACTTAGTTCTTAAATACAACTATATTCAAATGAATGTTTTATTTATTTAGACGTAAAATTTGCACGTGTTGTGAACACTGAAATCCGTGTCATACTTTTATAAACATAATTCATTTTTTGTTTCGTCGCATCGCAGTATGCGAGACATAGGTATTACTAGCCGGTGGCGGCGGCGTAAACTATTTGTATAAAGCTTTATATTTAAGAAGGTAGAAGACCTGAATGCTTCATACCTTGTATGCAGATACCTTATGTTCGGCGGCGGCGTAAACTATTTGTAAAAAGCTTTATATTTCAGAAGGTAGAAGACCTCGATGCAGATATCTTATGTTACGAAGTTTCCATCTGTCATATGCCCATGGTCCTTGACCTCATTTTCAGCGACTGCTTGAAAAAAATTACAGTTTTTTTGTCATGTGAATTTCTCACTTATTATGAGTAATAGAATAACTATATTTGGTATATGGGTTCCTTGCAACGTCTAGGGGTTAACCTGACCTTGACCTCAATTCATGGATCAGCGATCAAGCTTAAAGTTACGTGATTAGGTCCGTTTTCAGATACTACAAGCAGCAGGTCAACTATATGTGGTGTATGGAATGATTGTATGGGGTCCATGTTTGACTGGCAGATTTCATATGACCTTGACCTCATTTTCATATGGTTCATTGGTCATTGTTAATTTTTTGTTTTTTTGTCTGTCTTTCAAGTACTGTAAGCAATAAGTCAACTATATTTGGTGTATGGAATGATTGTAAGGTGTACATGTCTGTCTAGCTGGTGTCATCTGCTCTTGACCTCATTTTCATGGTTCATTGGTCAATTTTAAGTTTTTGTGTTTTGGTCTGTTTTTCATATACTAATTGCAAAAGGGTCAACTATAATTGGTGTATGGAATGATTGTAAGGTGTACATGTCTGTCTAGCCAGTATCATCTGACCTTAACCTCATTTTCATGGTTCATTGGTTAATGTGAAGTTTTTGTGTTTTGGTCTTTTTTTCAGTTACCATAAGAAATGGGTCAACTATATTTGATGTATGGAATAGTTGTAAGGTGTACATGTCTGTATGACAGTTTTTAGCTCACCTGGCCCGAAGGGCCAAGTGAGTTTTTCTCATCACTTGGCGTCCGTCGTCGTCATCGTCGTTAGCTTTTTACAAAAATCTTCTCCTCTGAAACCACTGGGCCAAATTTAACCAAACTTTGCCACAATCATCATTAGGGTATCTAGTTTTAAAAATGTGTCCGATGACCCCGCCAACCAACCAAGATGGCCGCCATGGCTAAAAATAGAACATAGGGGTAAAATGTAGATTTTGGCTTATATCTCTGAAACCAAAGCATTTAGAGTAAATCTGATTACCAGGTCAAGATCTATCTGCCCTGAAATTTTCAGACAAATCTGACAACCTGTTGTTGGGTTGCTGCCCCTGAATTGGTAATTTTAAGGAAATTTTGCAGTTTTTGGTTATTATCTTGAATATTATTATAGATAGAGATAAACTGTAAACAGCAATAATGTTCAGCAAAGTAAGATCTACAAATAAGTTGTATGACCAAAATTGTCAATCGACCCCTTTAGGAGTTATTGCCCTTAATAGTAATTTTTAACAACTTTTTGTAAATTTTTTTAATCTTTTACAAAAATCTTCTTCTCTGAAACTACTGAGACAAATTTAACCATACTTGGCCATAATCATTATTAGGGTTTCTAGTTTAAAAATTTTGTCCGATGACCCCGCCTTCCAACCATCATGGCCGACTTGGTTAAAAATAGAACATCGGGGTAAAATGCAGTTTTTGGTTTATATCTCTGAAACTAGAGCATTTAGAGCAAATCTGACAGGTGGCAAAAATGTTCATCAGATTTAGATTTATCTGCCCTGAAACTTTCAGACGAATCCGACAACCCGTTGTTGGGTTGCTGCCCCTGGGTTAGTAATTTTACCAAAATTTTGCAGTTTTTTGTTATTATCTTAAATATCATTATAATATCTAATATCTAATACTATTAATTATGATTTTAACCTTATTTTACATGATTTCCAAAGCATCAGTAAATACAGGTGAGCGACACAGGCTCTTGAGAGCCTCTAGTTATCTGACCTTAACCTCATTGTCATGGATCTTAAAAAATGTTAAGTTTATGTGATACTTGTAGTAAAACTTTTATCTTTAAGACTTTCAACATTAAATCAATGGTCAGTAAAACAGGCGAGACATTTCAGCGTGTGCACTCTTGTCTTTTAGATGCAGACTTGGCAAACACAGCATCTAGTGATAACTCTGCATTGATAGCTGGGATAGCCATTGGTGTTGGGTCGGTCGTCATCATATGCGTTCTAATTGGTATTTATGTATACCGCCAATACAGATGGAAGTTGTTCTTGAAGGATCCACTTCCTGTTATACAACAATGGGATAATCAAACTAATTATCCTCTGACAAGGAAATATTACAAGACTTATAATGATGGATACCATTCCATGAAAAATAATTCTGATCCCAACATGTCATCCGCTCAAGACAGACCTAGTACGCCTAATTCAGGAGGAAGTTCAAGTAAAAGCATTATTAAAATTTCAAAACCTGGAGATTCGATTGCATGAAACAAGATTTTAGTGTCCATGTATTTTCTATTGAACATCTGGATTTGTGTTTAAAACCTTTCTTAGTTTAAAAATAGCTGTGGTTGCATTTAACAAATAGTTTATTTCGACAATTCAAAAACAATTTACAAATAATATCATTTCATTTCCTCTAACAATCTGCTGAGACATATTTAACCCCTTTTTATTTATGGCGATTGTAAACTAACACTTAAAGTATTATGTGTAATTAGTGAAATGAGACAAGAAATAAATAGAAATATTGTATGCCACTTTTAACTAGGTGGGCGGGGAGGGGGCAAATTCGTTTGTCATCGCCAGTAGAAACCCATTAAACATGCATTTGATATCTTTTCTGAAAATTTAGTTCAAATTATTTGCTATTAGTCTTTTTTATACAACTTTTTACCAAATTGGAGAGAGGGAGAGAGAGAGATTATCTTCATTCATTTAAAAATTTTGTTATATAGATTGACAATTAATTGAAAACTTATTTCTGTTTGTTACATTTGTAAATTTTAATATATTTTTTTAATGTATTTCGCTGGCGAAAAACCTTTTTTATATTATTAAAAAATATATTTTGATTTGTGTTTCACTTTTAAACAAAGTAATGCAGGACAGTAAGCTTCTAATTGGCACTGGCATATTGAAATACATACATGTATTTACCATGCACATTACACGGACATTATCATGGGTAAATGTACAACCAGCATTTTGGTGTTATCTAAACTTTTGGAAATAATGAAAGTACCAGAAGCATGAAAAAAGACTTTTCATAAGACAGAGAAGAAGTGAGAAAATTGAGGGAAATTATCATGCGTTTACTTCATTTCCACCATAAATTTAGTATTGGTTGTTGGATAAACAATCGTGATATAAATTTACTGTCGATAAAATAGGCTATCCGCACTATGTGTTTCTCGTTATTGTTTGTCCGTTAGGTCGTCTTATTTTGTTTCGGAGGAGTTCGGGTGTCGGTGTTGTCTTTTCCTCGATTTTCATATAATTTGTACTCATCATAAGCAACATAACAGGCTCCAAATGTGGAACAGGATCTGCTAGTCATTCCATAGCACTGGAGATCACCCCTGATATCGATCGGGTTCGTGGTGCTCAGTTTTTAGGTTTTTGTCTCGCCTTGACGGTGTCAAAAAGCGAGACATAGGTATGCTGTTTCCGGCGGCGGCGGCGTCAACAATGTATTAGTTTGTGATTAGGTCTAGTTTATGGTGAACCACTAGTGGTAGGTCAATGATATTTGGTATGCAGTTGTATTAGCATTGGCACATCTCATCATCATGGAGATTATTTGGCCCAACCCTCTCAGTCATGGTCTATTGACTTTGAAACTTTTGCTTAGTTTACATGTATTAGTTTGTGATTAGGTCAGTTAAAGATGAACCACTAATGTTAAGTCAATGATATTTGGTATGCAAATGTATTGGCATTTGCAAGTTTCATTTCGCAATCCATGGAGATTATATAGCCCCGCCCCCTCATCATGGTTCATTGAATTTGAAACTTTTACTCCAGGAATAGATTACCTTAGCCGTATTTGGCACTTTTTGGAACTTTGTACTTGTTTGGCTTTATAACTATTATGATCTGAGCGTCACTGATGAGTCTTATGTAGACGAAACGCGCGTCTGGCGTATCAAATTATAATCCTGGTACCTTTGATAACTATTTACGTAGTTTACAAGTTAATGTTTGTGTTTAGGTTTGTTTAAAGGAAACGACTTATGAAAAGTCGATGGTATTTGGTATGCAGTTGTATTAGCATTGGTACATCTCATTTCCATGGAGATTGTTTAGCCCTGTACCTTTAGTCATGGTTCATTGACTTTGAATATTTGCATAACTTACATGTTAAAGTATTGCTATTTTAATTTCAATATTTGCATTATCAAAATAACAAATAGGCGAGACATATCCCTGTGTTAACAGTTTATTAGTGTAGTGTTTTGTAACAGTTTATTAGTGTAGTGTAGTGTTTTGTAACAGTTTATTAGTGTAGTGTAGTGTTTTGTAACAGTTTATTAGTGTAGTGTAGTGTTTTGTAACAGTTTATTAGTGTAGTGTTTTGTAACAGTTTATTAGTGTAGTGTTTTGTAACAGTTTATTAGTGTAGTGTAGTGTTTTGTAACAGTTTATTAGTGTAGTGTTTTGTAACAGTTTATTAGTGTAGTGTTTTGTAACAGTTTATTAGTGTAGTGTAGTGTTTTGTAACAGTTTATTAGTGTAGTGTAGTGTTTTGTAAATTGTTGTTTGTCTTTCCGTCATTTTTCGTTTTTGTCATGATTTTGTCCATCTCTCTTCTACTTATTGATACTTCCTTTGGTATCCTCGTATTATCATTCATTTTTATGAAATATACTTAACAACTAGAGCATAAAAGGACGTAAAAAACAAAATAAATAAATAAGCTATCACTTCAAGCTGAACTAATCAATGAAAATGTCAAGACGTTTGTTAAGATTTACACGTCCTATAAGGTTATAAAGATATTGTAGTATTTTATTCCTTGTTGCGAAATGAGGTACAACTGGTTTGAGAAAGTTATTCAAATGAACTGCACTGTCACAATGGCACATACTTATTATCGGTGGTGACAATCCTTCTTACGATCGGTATTTAAATCTTCAGTTTGTGACAAATACCAATGCGCGGATACAGGACAAAGCTTTGTCTTCCAGTATCTATACATAGGTAACCTGTGAAAACTAAGTCTTACTCCTATTGGTATCATTTGTTCAAATGATCTAGTTTCAAATTTTAAATACATAATGTCACTAATTTTATTATATGAATATACATTTTATAAATGCAAATATGACAGTTTAGGGATTAAACGATGTCATTAATAACGGTAATTAAAAGGACAATCAAAAGCAGAAACCCCCCTCAAAAAGGGAAAACACGAAAACACAAATTAATAATTCAAAAATACGAAACATATTTGTTGTTTTCTGTGACTCTAATATGCTATGCTACTGACCGTATAAGTGATGTATCAGAACTTTTATATCATAAAGAAAAATTTCTTCTGTTCTGGGACACAGATGTTCCGTGCTACTGACCGTATTAGAGATGCCGAGAATTTAACCGTTAGTAATCCTTTGTTTAGCCCTGAGACACTGGTATTCCGTGCCGTTGAACCTTTTACTGGTGCCACGAGTTTTAGTGTCGGGAATCGTTTGTTTAGCTGTGGAACACTGATATTTCATGTTATTGAAAGTATTAACGATGTCTCCAACTTTACAATTCGGAATATTTTGTTAAGTTCTAGGACACTCATAATCTGTGATGTTGACCGTATAAGTGATGCCTCGGATTTTACTGTTATGAATCTTTTTTCAGTTCTGGGACACTTATATTCCGTGATGTTGACCGTATAAGTGATGCCTCGGATTTTACTGTTAGGAATCTTTTTTCAGTTCTGGGACACTCATAATCCGTGATGTTTACCGTATAAGTGATGCCTCGGACTTTACTGTTAGGAATCTTTTTTCAGTTCTGGGACACTTATATTCCGTGCTGTTCAGCCTTCCTTTCCCTCATGTCAATATTAGTGTGTATTCAAACGACAAATGATATTAAGGGATACTGTCCTTACAAGGGAAAAGCAAAGAACACGATTCTATTTTTGTTTTTTTTTGTTTTTTGGGGCATTTATGAAATGATATTTCCATATAAAAGATTTTGACAATTATGTTTCATTTAGCAGAAACCATACATAAATGAAGGAAACATTAATAAATGAGTTAAAAAGCGTATTTATTCGAGGTTACAGTTTTTGTACATACCAACTACAATAACTATAATATTTTGATTATTCAGTTTATTTAAAACAAAATACTCAAAGACAATTAAAAGATAAATATTTCCTCATGTTTAAACTCAAATTTAAGTCAGATATATGTACAGTACGTCATGTGACATGAATAGAAATGCAATTTTATACGAATCCCAGCAAACCGCCAATTTGAATTTCGAGCTCAACTTAGTATAAATGGCTAATGTCACAATATTTATTGTCACGTAACTTAAACGTTGCTCTCAACCCCAACCCCTCCCCTAAAAAACGAAAAATAATGAAATAAGACAAAACAGGTAAAATAAAATACAGACAAAAAAAGAGACAAACGTATATACAATTACAAACCTTTTGAGGAATGAAAATTTCTTATTGTAGTTTTATTTTCTGTGATACATAAAATGTATCACATCTGAATACTAAGGCAATACACGCTAAGGCAATACACGTTACAAAAATATGACAATTTCATGATATTTAATGCATTGACTAAATTTTTTAATCTTTTATATTCATGCATATCATGGGAGGAAAAACAGCTACTTCAAATCTGATAGAATAATACCAAAATATCTTTCTTGAGGGGAAAATATTTGTCACAATCAGATGCAAAAATTAGTTTTTACATAGCGTAGGAAAATCAGAGTTTATTTTTTTTCATTTTTCAGCTCTCCTGGCCCAAAGGGCCAAGTAAACTTTTCTCATCACCTGGCGTCCGTCGTCCGTCGTCGTCGTCGTCTTGTGTCGTCGTTAACTTTTACAAAAATCTTCTCCTCTGAAACTATGAGTAAAATTTAACCAAACTTGGCCACAATCATCATTAGGGTATTTAGTTTTAAAAATGTGTCTAATGACCCAGCTTGACAACCAACATGACCGACATGGCTAAAAATAGAACATAGGGGTAAAATGCAGCTTTTGGCCTATATCTCTGAAACTAAAGCATTTAGAATAAATCTGACAATGTAAAAATGTTCATCAGGTTTAGATCTATCTGCCCTGAAATTTTAAGACGAGTCAGACAACCCGTTGTTGGGTTGCTGCCCCTGAATTGGTAATTTTAAGGAAATTTTGCAGTTTTTGATTATTATCTTGAATATTATTATAAATAGAGATAAACTGTTAACGACAAAAATGTTCAGCAAAATAAGATCTACTAATAAGTCAAACATTACCAAAATTGTCAATTGACCCCTTAAGGAGTTATTGCCCTTTATAGTCAATTTTTAACAATTTTTCGTAAATTTTTGTAATCTTTTACAAAAATCTTCTCCTCTGAAACTTCTGGGTCAAATTTAACCAAACTTAGCCACAATCATCATTAGGGTATCTAGTTAAAAAAATGTGTCCGATGACCTCGCCTGCCAACCAACATGGCCGACATGGCTAAAAACAGAACTTAGGGATAAAATGCAGTTTTTGGCTTCTATCTCTGAAACTAAAGCATTTAGAGCAAATCTGACGCGCAATAAAAATGTTCATCAGTTTTAGATCTATCTGCCCTGAAATTTTCAGACGAATCAGACAACCCGTTGTTGGATTGCTGCCCCTGAATTGGTAAATTTTAGGAAACTAAGTTTTGCAGTTTTTGGTTTTTATTTTAAATATTATTATAGATAGAGATAAACTGTAAACAGCAATAATGTTCAGCAAAGTACGATCTACAAATAAGTCAATATGACCAAAGTTTTCAATTGACCCCTTTAGGAGTTATTTTCAATAGGGTATCTTGATTGAAAAATGTATCCGATGACCCTGCTATCCAACCAACATGGCCGCCATGGCTAAAAATAGAACATAGGGATTTACTATAGAAGTCTAAGGAAAAATTGTAAAAAAAACAATTTCAAACTAATTTAAATAATGATAAGGGGTCTTCAGTTACTAGAGGGATGACCTGCTTTTAAATTAACTACTGGACCAAATTAAACCAAACTTGGCCTCAATCATCATTAGGGTATTTAATACTATTTATCATGATGTAAACCTTATTTTACATGATTTCCAAAAACAAAGTAGATACAGGTGAGCGACACAGGCTCTTGAGAGCCTTTAGTTATCATTTTGAGATTGATTGGTTGATTTTTTTTAAGTTATTAATTAAACTGTCCCCGTTATTGTACATTGGAAATGCGTGTGATTCAAGACGGCAAAAAGGTTTTTATTTAGTTGAAATACTACAAGTATTGGTTGTCAAGGAATGTAGAGAAAAGTATTTCAAAATATACTAATAGTAGAAGAATATGTTCAATTTGAATAATACATAAACAAATTACTTAAACCCATTTTGACACCTTTTTTTAAAGGATTGTTCCAAATTCTCGTCAATTACACCCACAATTTAATTATAAAATGAGAGGGAAATTACCGCGGGGACAATAAATAAGTATATAATTCATAACATGAAAGTTGATTTGATCTTTCATATCGATTGGATAACAAGAACACAATTAAGCGAACTACGACTTCCTAATACCATAGTTCAACTGCACTAAAACTATAGTACATTTGTAACATTTTTTCACCGGCGAATAATGTCACCACCACCATTTTTCATTTGAGAATGGAATAATTAAAACTTATTTTATAATTGTGGAAATACTAAAGTCAACCAGATCAGTTGGTAAAAATACGTACAAATTTTTATTTCATCATTACAAAATGTTCAAATTGTTACAATTTCATCAATTTACACGATTTACACTTTATTCATCAACTTGCCCATGTTGCCTAGATATCAGAATCGAATATGTACATATTTGGATAGAGAATTTTGTTTTGTGACTCCATGCCATGTGTATAACAGCAACATGTAACACTGGTCATTGTTAAATACTTTACAGTTTGTTGTGTATTTGTTGTCCATGTTTTCTTGGTTTGAGGTTCTCTCCGTGCACTCCGACTTCCTCCACCAATAAAAACTGACCGCCACGAAATAACCAATAGTGCTAAAAGTGGAGTTAAACACCAAAAATCATCAATCAGTAAACTTGTATCATTGGTACCATACCATAACCGTAAACAGTCTATAAGTAATTTTGTATCACATATTTACTTTTAATATAAGTTAAAATGCACTTGTCGTATCAACTTTTCCTGAGAGAGAATAAATGATATCATATAAGATATATACAGTATTATACATAATATAAAGTCAGGATATATTACGTGTATTCAAAATAAAAATATAAAATCTTTCGCAAAAAACCCAATACGATCGTTATTGTCTTGTATCAATGTGTATTCCGCACACATACTTTCATTCACACACGTAAATCATTCATTTATCATGCCCCTAACTCACATACATGTACGTATAAACATATACATTATTCTTACTAACAATACAAATACTACATGCACTACACATCAGAACTATTTTTTAAACGAACAGGATATCAATATAATTCAAGCTAAAGCACCCAGTTTAAAACAAGTTGAGTGGAAAATTCAAATGCTAATTTGGATACATAATTGTCTGTTCCCATTAATCACATATTCCATTTGAAATTAAATCAAGTCATACAAATATTGAAGTAGTATTGTAACCTTCCTTTCTAGTAATGGTTTTGCTATCAAAATATTTGATTATTGTTTATCGTTGTTCACGTAAATGTGATCCATCAGCCGACAACAGTCTCATCCAATTATTCGCAAGATTCATTGAATCTAAATCAACTTGAGGATTTGGAGGTGCATTTGAGACATTCTTTGCGTAAGTCCTCGGATAGAAATCAAACGGTTGTGCCAATCGTTGTTCAAATGAACCCGGAGTTGTTGGTACTCCATTCGGAATACTACCTCTGCCATTCGGGAAGGGTGCAACTTGCCCAGACTTAATGGACTTCCGAGGAGATCCTAATAAGTAAAAAGTAACATGTGTCATTAAGGATGTAAAATGTTCTCGCTATGAGAATATAGTAATAAACAATATAAATCTTTGGTAGAAAAAAAAATCAGTTGGGAAATAAAATTAAAATTGATCCCAAAAACTTTACCCGTTTTCTTCTTCTTGTTTTCTAACAAATTCAGCTAGCTGTTTCAGTCTTACATGCGCATATGCTTCCATAGATATGATTTTCAAAAGTTCATTTTGTGAAATATAATTTCCTTTCTGTGTACCCATAGCAACAGTCTGTTTTAATTTAACATTACATATTACAAAAATAGCTATGGACATTTGGTCTTATTTAAAAGTAGAATCCCAATCCCGTTGAGTGATACCTTTTTCTGAATACTCAATACTTTCAAAATTGAAGGAGAAAATTAAGTGCCTTACAGTTTCGTAAAATTGCTTTAATTTTTTTTGTCATAAACGGTGTAAGTAAACATAATAATTTGTGGATCTATATCCGGTATGAATATTAAAAAGATTGACTGTTATACAGACAAGAATTAACCTAAAACATTCATAAAACAAGCTTGATGTTCACAGAAACCTATTTGGATCAAATATATATATATGTTTCTTCAGCTATGTGTTTTTTTCATATTTGAAAAAAAAATCAATGGGAAACGTGTACTGCTTCTTTAAACAGTTTCATTGTTACTTTTTTGAAAAAAAAAAATCAATATGCAAATCCAGTGCCTCCTTTTTAAGACGTCCGTGGACGTTAGCATCCTTTTCATTCTATATAATATGGGAACTAAATTTTTCAATCTTTTTTTCTAGTTTTTCACAAAGTAAACGGTTTTTGCTGATGCTTGTGTTGCTCAATCTTTAGTTTTCTATGTAATGTTTGAACGAAATGTTGTTTGGTCTTTTGGTCTTTTTTCTCTTGGTCGGTAATGGTATTGTCTGTTTCTCTTGGTCGGTAATGGTATTGTCTGTTTCTCTTGGTCGGTAATGGTATTGTCTGTTTCTCTTGGTCGGTAATGGTATTGTCTTTTTCCTCTTGGTCGGTTATGGTATTGTCTGTTTCACTTCGGCTTTTGTTTATTGGTTGCCACCATTTTTCTTCTTCCTTCTTTAGCGCAATAACTTATTAAAAAAAACTGTTATGGAATGTACAAAATCCAGTAGCAACTATTAATATTCCCACGAGAAATTACACTCTATCGATGGGATTTCTTTGTCATGCAAATATTTAATTACAGATAAAACGCAATATTTTTTTTGAAAGTGAAAATTTGCATCGAAAGGAAAAAAATAATGGCATAAAGTATTTTGAATTGGAAAAGCAGTGCAGCCTTTTCATTTGGTTCCATGGTGCAATCAATGTTCGATTGCGAACACATTTTGTGCATCAGAAGGGTTTTAAGGATTATGGCATATTGAGTTGGAATCTCTTTCCATTTCCTATCGGGACAAGATTATCATTTCTAATGGTTTCTACATATGCAAATAGATAAATGTTGATTTCCACAGATTTTTATTATTTCAAACACAATAACTGCACCACAACACCATATAATAACACGATAAGCAGGAACAGGTGACAGGAAATGGAATATAGCAAGTCAGAAAATTGTATACAGGCAGAAGTATTTATTGACTTTATTTGTGAAGAATACAATTTATTTATAAGCTATTCTTTTTGAAAATTGTTATTTTTCAAGCGCATTTTTCTTCAACATTTTGTGGACCAGGACCTATTTTGAAAATGAATTTTCACAGAAACACTTGTTTTCATTTTTGAGAGCTCAGGTAACTAATAGTATCAGAGGTCGTTCCAAGTATGATTCAACAGTGCACTATTAAGTAGTGGTATTTGTGGAGAAGGAATTTCAACCCTTCTTGCGTGACCTGATTTCCTCACAGTTTTTTATTTTTTATTTTTTATTTTTTTTGGGGGGGGGGGGGGGGGTGCTCCGTCTAAGTATTTAAGTTTAGTGCTTTATTGACTGTTGACTCAATGTTATCTTTTTTCTTTTAGTCATGATGTGGTCTCACTTTCTGCAACATTGGATGAATTTGGTGCCTTCATAGTATCTTTTTACTTATATCCTATAACAGCAAATTGGCATTAAGTATCCATATAATATAGCTATCCTTAAGACAGATGCAAGCATGCATTTTGTTATCAGCCTTTAATAGCTAAGTATATAGTATTGATATAGTATTGGTATAGTATTGGTACAGTATATGTTTTGTTGAATGACGTATGGTTTCAAGTTGTTAACATCCTGTCTTTTGGTCTCTGATGGATAGTTTTAATATCACAACTTCATTTTTACATTGTTATTGTGCCGGTTTATTACATACAATTTATTATTAACAAACGAAGTAAATCCCCAAGCCATTATTATTGACCTAGGACATATTACAGGGCCAATATAAAAATCCCTATTAATTGATAATATAATAGAAAAATAAAGGATATGGGGTATCCATCCATGACACAAAATCAGTACCTGCACAACAAAAAACACACAATAAGCAAAGGAACAGCGCTTTAATTGCTGTTCTTCATCTCAAAGTCACAGTGAGTATATGATTTCGTTACATTTAAAAGATAACTTAAAAGCCGAACTGTTGAGATCATATATATTGAGATTGCAAACTACTGAAAATGGTGAAAAGTTTACATATCAGTATGCATTTCCGGTTTATGGTATTTCCGAAAAGTTGCACATATATCGTTCATGCAGGAAACCAAAGTTACAATGGTCGAGCACGTATGGGGAAAGAATAGCGAGAGCAAGAAGAGAAATTACTTTAAACATGGTTTTGGTTTGTAATATAGACTCATTTAAAGGCTATCCAATGAATTATTATGAACGTTTTACAAAAGTGAGGAATAAATAGAAATAGAAGTTCACCTTTAACTACTGTAGTTGACGATATACATGGACATATTTGTGACATAAAGCTCTTCTTACGAGGTTCATATGGAGAAAATGGATCTGATAAGTTCAATTTCAATCCATCCCTTTTAGGACGGACAGTACCATTTTGAGATGGATATCCCCCTGTCGCATGCCTAAAACTATGCTCACCATGCAGACTATCTGGATATCCAGAAACTGAATACGGACCCGGTAGACCAAGTGGAGAGAACTCGGACATGTCTTGTGAAATAAGAGAGCCTCGTTGTAACCTCGCAGCTTTCCAAGAAGCAGCACCTGTTGGGCTCATAGTTGATGGTCCTACAAGGAAAAGGACAACATTTAAATTATCTTTCATTGATATTTGTCTTTCAAAATATACAATCATCTGTATTTCAGTATATACCTTTTATCTTTCAATAAGAAGTAATTTATAATATTTAAAAAAAAATTGTCTTTGTCTCATTGGCACTCATACCACATCTTCTTATATCTATTGTCTTGTACACAATGATTGTCCTTTTCTGCCATTGAATTAAAATAAAAATTTTAACACTGAATTATTAATTTTTATAAGAAAAAGTTTTACCCTCATTTATTACAAAAGAAAAAAAAAAACTCTATTTCCAAACGCGGGCCAACTAAAGTCATGAACAATTTTTATGAACACACCATCAATTATTCAACAGATAAAATAAACATTAAAAACATCGACCAAACAAATAAAGACCATCACGCTCCAATACAAAGCCGATATTGAACAAAGCTAGTAAAATGACATGAAACAATTATGGTTGATATTTTTTTTCTTTCTATCAATTTAATTCAGCTCTAATTCAAACAAGATATAATATATATAATATAATACTTCGTATTAAAAATAACGTGAAATCCCTACCAGGAAAGCATGCTCGACATTTGAGACAAGGACATAGATTTCCACATTTGACCCAACAAGGATAGTTTCGACATCTTCCAAGACGCCAAGGGAGATAAGCGGGTTTCCAACAACACCACAATAGTAGTGCTACACCTAACACTCCACCTACAGCAGCATACAATGGAGTTAAATCAGGTCTGAAAGGCGGAGGGGCGAGGGTTGTAGTCGTTGTTGTCGTTGTTGGCTTTCCTGAAATAAAAAAAGATTCAACACCTTTTTAAAACTTTTGTAAACATGCGTCATATATATTCAGTCTACAAAAACCTTTTAATTTCATGATATGCTTCAGAGGTTATGTTTTATTTTATAAAAAAAAAAGGAGATGTGGTATGATTGCCAATGAGACAACAATGCACCAAAGTTCAAATAAAGTGGATATAAGCAATTATAGGCAACCATACGACCTACAACAATGAGAAAAACCCATACCGTATGGTTCAGCTATAAAAGGCCTCGGCATGAAAAATAGGAAACAATTCAATTGAGAAAACTAACAGCCTAATTTATTACAAAACAATTTACGAAAAACAAATATGACAGACATGAACTTCATTCATTTTACCCTATAAGTTATCTTTTTGATGTAATATTCAGCCATTAAAGCATATTTATTTTGGACATTTCATATACATTCAAACACTTTTCGTAAGGTGTGAGACCGTGTGTTCATCACTGGAGCCGTCTTATAATTGTCAAGAAAGGAACAGAAAACTTTCATCTTTCGATAAAGGGTTGTCAATCTTATTTCAAACATTTCAAACAACGTTTTACAGTGTCTGAAGTTTTCAACGTCATGAATTCTGATAACTACCTCCCTATTCCACCAATGGAATATTCCTCCTTTTGAATAGTAATTTATATCGTTTCTTTGTATTAAATGGGGCATTAGCTGTCAAATTCATGTTCACCGACAGGACTCAAATTCTCATATTTGATTTATAACATACTAAAACGTATATCCAAATTCTAAAAAGTCTAAAATAAACAATATACAATGCATGGACTCGATAATATGTATCAGAATTTCGTGTGTATTTTAATCTAGATGCCATCTAATTAACCATTGAGGTGACCTCCGAAGACTGCCGACAGTCATATAACCAAACATAAACATAAATATAGATATAAATAGATCGTGAACACGTTCAATTGAATTTTTCTAGGTCTGCATGTTTGATTTCAAATTATAGGTTAAACAAATACGTTAATAATCGTTTTTACCTGTATAAGAATGAGTTTTTGTAGATCGAAACAGTCAACCAAATGGTTTACCCTTGTTTCGCTTTCAATGTTGAGATTGTTTTCCTTTTAATAGCTGAACACGCCTAGTTTATGCCTAACCCATCTTTGGCTAAGGGGTTGAATAGTAGGTCACATGAATACGGATTCAATGAGGTCGAATTATTCTTAGATTATTTTGACAAAATTGAAACAAACTGGATGCTAAAAGCGAATTATTATATCACTATTTCACTTTCATTAATGATTGAACAAAAGAATCATATTTTGATTTTTTCATATCTCGTAGCTAATTTAATCAAGTAGCTACTTGTTTATCTACATATAAGTAAACCTGCTTGATTCATGTAAGCCTACAATGTCATGGGTTTGGCTTTTATAATTTTATGTAGGAGACTTTTTTTAATAATTTTTTAAGAATAGTTACTTTATAGATAAAACAATTCAAAATGGATCGATGTAACCATGCCGACTGAAAGTTTGTGTCTTTTCAGTCGTTGACATTAAACTATTCAAATATCTGTAAGTTTATTACTTTTTTATCGACTGAAATAAGATTTTCTCTATAATCTGTTCAATAAAGTGAATAGACAAAGTTTGAGGGATCTATCTATTGCAACAAAATATCTTTTCATCAATATTCTCCTAATTGGTATATGAAACACATATTCATCTTGTATTTTGTCTCATTCGCAAAAAATAAAAATAGTCGAATTTTAAGTTTTTAAAAAACCTTTCAAGTGTTCTATTTTTGCTGCAAACTAAAACGGTTGTATACTGATGTTTATTAAACAAATGCGTGTTGATGAATGCAATTCGACGCGTGGTCATTTAGGCTAGTTTGTGTTAATATGTTAAGTGCAATTTGGAATTTGTATTGCTCTTTAAACGTAGATGGTATTCAATTATCTACCAATTATGTAAAAATAAACTTCTCCTGCTGTGATAAACTATGTCTTTATCTGTACCATTCTATGGAGAACATCCCATAAACTTGGTTAGTATGATATTACCATAAAAAGTTAGGCGTAAAATACCACCTTTTTAGATTCAGGCAGATACATGTGATTACTTTTTTATAAAGTTTTGAACAACTTATAATATGTATTGCCCTAATGTAAATTTGTTTAGTAATTCTAAAACGTCTCTCAAAGCAATCACATATCGAACCAACTGAAAATTGGAGGCTTCATGAATGTAAGAAGGAGCCAACGGAACATGACAATAAAAGAAACGGAAAATTAACTACAAGAAAAGAAAAGTCATATATTTGGTATGGATATGACCATAAGCATGATAAATTGAGAATGGAAACATTTCTTTAGCGCCTTTGAAAAAGAAACCTGAACTAGTACTGCAAATTAGAAACCACGCACATTTATGAAGACAAAAATAATAATTCTTTGTCAAATAATCATAAGTATTACCATGAGAAAGTGTGCGTTTGAATTGCATTCAGTTTAGTAGTTTATCTTATTTCAGGAGCACAATGAGTAACATATAATTTGTTCCACACTATTTTTGATTCTATAGAATCTGATACTTACTAAAACAGTTTGCAGGTGCTTGTCTGCTCACGTCGGTGTTGTCACGTGGGTAAACATCCGACGCACAATTCCGGGAAAACCAAAAGTCACATTTCAGGGAATCGTCTAAACATCTTTTACTGTCGTTACATTTTAAAGATACTTTGTCGATGGTCTCGTTACATTCTTGAAAGATGAAAAAATATATAAATTATAGAAGTAAAGTTTCAAATATACCAATGATGGAATTAAACCATGCTCTTAAAATATGCTGAAATATGCAATTGTGACCTGTTCTGGTAAATTTAAGAATGCTTTTTAACATTTGCAGTGTACGTGAGGAAAACTCTGAAATAGAGATAACAGCAATTATTATGTTGTGTAGGTGTATTCGTACATTGCTTTATCATTGTTAAACAATTCCTTTTTTTTTTAATTTTTTTACGATAAAATTGAGAATGGAAACGGGGAATGTGTCAAAGAGACAACAACCCGACAAAAAGCAGAACACAGCCCAAGGCCACCAATTTGTCTTCAACACAGCGAGCAAATCCTGCACCAGAGGCGGGCTTCAGCTGGCCCATAAACAACAATAATGTATACTAGTTCAGCGAAAATGGACGTCACACTAAACTCCGAAACATATAAAGGAACTAAAATTTAAAAAATACCAGACTAACAAAGGCCAGAGGTTCCCGACTTGGGACAGGCGCAAAAATGCGGCCTGTTTAAACATGTTTTGTATACCTCTAGCCAATGTGGAATAAACAAACACATAGCAATACGCACAGTAAAATTCATTTTTAAAGAAGTCCGAGTCCGATGTTAGAACAGGTAACAGAAGAAACAAAGCAAAATGACAATGATCAACATAAAAGATATTTTTTATACTTCTTAATTATGTATTAAATATTCTAATAGACACTAAAGAAATTTTTTTCAGAAGTCAGAACTTGACATATCAGATTAGCAGCTTCTTCAAGATCAAGATCGGTAATATTGCTTTAAAACTCTGTGTATTGCTTTATTCTAAATACTTGAACAATTCATAAAAAATATTCAGAATATAAATCAAAAGAGTGTGGAATGTACGTCGATCAGACAGCAACCCAAAGACACAAATAATTAAAAGGCATCTCAAGGTCAACATACAGTCTTCAATAAAAGATACATGACTATTCAATATAAGCATCGCTAAATCGACGCAGTTCGAAAAAAAAGTTGCGATTAAATTTTACAGTCTATAAAAGATTTATATCAATATCAATTACTTCAAATAACAAAAAGTCAAAATAACTCCCCCCAACCCCCAACCCCAACCTCCTTAAAAACCCATTTAGATATGACAAAGAAAAAGCACTAACGAGGTTTCGAATGTTGAACAAACACATATTTATAAACAAATGACTGGGTTAACTTGCAAGTGATCTCGCAGTTTATTGAGACTATATAATAGTGTTTAGTGGGTATGGCGGTGACCTATAGCTGTTAACTTCTATGTCATTTGGTCGCTGGTGGAGAGTTATCTCATTGGCAATTATACCACATCTTCTTATTTTTATATGAAATTGTATTGGTTTCTATTTCACTACCAGATTTTTTAAGTATTTACCGAAATCATATGATGTAATATCCATCTTAAAAAAGACTGTAGGATAAGGAAACGGATCTGGTGTTGTTGTAGGGGGAGACAATGTCGTATTACCGGTAGCTGGCGGCAGTGATACAAGAGGATCCACCGTAGAAAAATCGGGATTACGATAGTCAATATAGAAATAAAATGTCATATATTCTCCTTTCCATTCTAAGTTTTGAATGACTGCATCTTTACCACAGAAGACATATTTTTCAGCTGCATTTCTATCCATCCCATTGTAAATTATCATATACGCTTTCCCACACTTTGCAACCTCGTTCTCGGGTCTCACTACTGCTTGTTCTTTCAAGTGGAATTGGCGAAAGTGTATAGCCATGAATCGTTTTTCACCTGTCGATGGCATACCCCTTACAACAATGATACATTCAAATTCTTGACCTTTAAGAGCATATGGAATACCAACGACTCCTTTTTTGAATGTTGCAGCCCTGTCAAATTCTAAATAGGCTCCATAGTCTGGTCCAACAACATGTCCACAATTCTCAGTTACAAAATCTGTTCAAAAATAATTTGTAATTAGAATACATTTTCTGAATTATGATTAATAGTCATTTGATAAATATTACCTTTTTCAAGGCTATTGCAACATTCATAAAAATTGAAATTTATATACTAGTATTATGAAACTTGCCGAATTCGCTGCATTTGAATTATTTTTTTATGAATTGTTATTGACTAACAATTTAAGCTTAGTGCTTTTGAAGTCTAGACATTTTCAAACGAAATGGTAGGAATGTGATAGTTAAAATATCAAAACCAGATCTATAATGGGAAAACATTACTGTTTAAGGCCAACTTTGCATAAGAAAAAATGCTCGCTTTATATATGGACAAATTATAAAACTCATAAGGTGAAGATTTATTAAAATGCATAGTGAATAATTCCAAGTGTCCTATGCTTTAACGCAAGGAATTTGGCGATTGCTACATATATCCACGGGGAATAACAACAGTCGATCAGTAATGATGTAGAATTATTGTGGTGGTACATCAATGTTAAATATACCGCGGTGGTATATTATAAAACTCAGTGGCATACTTCACATTGATTTACTACAATAGTGGTAGTAAAAGTCGAAAATAAACTGACAACGCCATGGATAAAAAGAAAAGACAAACAGACAAACATCAGTACACAAAACACAACATACAAAAACTAAAGACTGAGCAACACGAACCCCACCAAAAACTGGAGTGATCTCAGGTGCTCCGGAAGGGAAAGCAGATTCTGTTCCACATGTGGCACCCGTCGTGTTGCTAATGTTAGTACAAACCCAGTGATAAGTCTAATTCGGTAGATCACATTCGGGAAAAGGGGACGGGATTGTAGTTAGAACAATTGGAACATATCCGTTGTCATCTATGAAACAGATATCCCATAACAGTCAACCAACTCGTGATGGCGTCCGTAAAATTTACAAAGAGAAGATTTCAACTTCACCACTTGGAACTATTGGTTTAATAGCTTCATTGTAAGCAGCAACCCTCTATCAAGGAAATAACGATGGTAGAAAATACAAGCCCTGGAATATCGTATCAACTGGGAGATATATACTTCGTATGCAGGCGCTGCTGGAATGTTGCTACATAGAAATGGACAGTTCACAATTGGGAAGCTGAAATCATCTTTTTTGTCGTAAAGTTTTGTTTTCAACCGACCCTCATTGTCAAATTCTAGATGTAAGTCAAGATATGAGGCAGACTTAATTGTATCTGTTGTATCCTTTATCTCAAGTTCGATGGGATAGATGTGTTCAACATAGTCACCAAATTTTGAATTATTTAGTGAGAGAACATCATCTAATAAATCATTGTGAATATTTCGTAGCGGTATAAATCCAGTAGTAGTTAATCAATTGGAATTACACGTATACCACAGTGGTATCAAAGAGGGTCTTGAAAGGGTTTAAGGAATAGAGAATAATGGGCAAAGAGTGCAGAGTAATGGGCAAAATAGAGAATATAGGCAAACAAATAAAAAAAATAGAGAACAATGGGTTGCTAAAATATAAAGAATAGAATATAATGGGCAAGAATATAAAGAATAGATAAAAGTTATCTAAAACATTAAAGAATACAGAAATGAAGGAACCCTCCCCACCCCTCATCCTGACCCTCATAAACCGAGTGGTAGTATAAATCAATGTATGCACGAAGTGGTAGTTAATCAAGATGAAACATGTAGCAGTGGTATGAACGAACAGGTAGTTAAACAAGGTGAAATATGTCGCAGTGGTATGAACCCAGTGGTAGATAATCAAGGTGAAATATGTCGCAGTGGTATGAACGAAGTGGTAGTTAATCAAGGTGAAATATGTCGCAGTGGTATGAACCCAGTGGTAGTTAATCAAGGTGAAATATGTCGTAATGGTATTAACCCAGTGGTAGTTTAATCAATGTGAAATATGTCGCAGTGGTATGAACGAAGTGTTAGTTAATCAAGGTGAAATATGTCGCAGTGGTATGATCCCAGTGGTAGTTAGTCAAGGTGAAATATGTCGCAGTTTTTTGCACGAAGTGGTATTTAATCATGGTAAAATATGTCGGATTGTTATAAAAGTCCATACAAAAATACCGAGCACCAAGGTAAATTCAAAACGAGGGATGTCCATAAAAACAGACAAAACCAAACGTTATCAACCAACGGAACTAGTGAAAACAACTGTCATATTCCTGACTTGGTACAAGCATTCACCGAAGAAAATGGTGGGTTAAACCTGGTCAAAACTCCGCCATATTCTGTATATGCCTGTCCCAAGTTATGAGCCGGTAATTCGGTGGTAGTTGGTTGTTGCTATATATCATGTTTGTTTTTCGTTTATTGTTTAGTGCATAAATCAGATCGCTAGTTTTCTTTTTTGAATTGTTTTACATTTGTCATTTCGGGGCCTTTTAAGCTTGCAGTATGGGTTTTGTTCATTGTGGACTGAGGCCGCACGGTGACCAATAGTTGCTCACTTCTACGTCATTTGGTCTCTGTTGGAGAGTTGTCTTATTTAAATCATTCCACGTCTTCTTATTTTTATATATACAACATGTACTGAATACGACCAATTAGTTAATATAAAAATAAGGAGAAGTGGTATGATTGTTACTGCGACAACTATCCATAAAAAGTAAATGGCGATGATGAGAACAATTGGTCAACGGACTGCCTGGAACAATAAGCAAACCCTATACTGTATATAGTAGGCTACAATAGACCTCGTTATAACAAGGCTACTTTTCATACTCATCATTTCGAAATTTTATACTCCTTGAAATTTTGAAATCCAAAATATTGTTATTTCAAGATGATTAACTGAAATGCTTTGATGTCTGAAATCTATTCCTGTAGCTAAGCACTATAGACAATGTATGTTTTATCTTTTCTATACATAAAAGTTTAAAAACAATACTTACGTCGACTATTACCAGCATATGTAACAATGGGTACAGTTGTCAAAACCATTAAAATACATAATAATCCTAAATATTCCATTTTTTACTATTGCTATGGATAACTGTTTTAGTTTTAATTTCCTTAAAACAAGTTTCATACGAACATTTGAACGAAGATTTAGAGCCGTTTAAGCTAATAAACAGAAATCTTCTTTTGGATATGGTGTTTTGGATTCACTCCATAGCGACGACCATATTTGATATTTGTTCCCATCATGCAACAAAACGTAGAACGTAAAACATTCAGTTCAGTGTAGGATGTATTTTCTGTCAATGACAACATCACATCTTGGATACGAACGAAATTATTTACGAAACAAAATCATCTGCGCTACAAATATGTCACACTTAGAGGTTTCCAAAAGGATTGGTACTGTAAAGAATAATACAAATTGAGAAATCATAAGATGATGGGTTCATAGTTAATATTGTGTTCTCATAGAAAACAAAAATTGTGAAATTTGTCTATTTTTCAATTTGATTTGAAAACATTAATGTAAAATAAATGATAGTTGACGAGACGAATCCTTTGGCATCTATAGCACATAATGTAACAATAGTGCATTTAATGGTACATATAACTATAAACGCAAACGTAACCTGGACTGTTTAACATCCGGACAAAGAATGCCATATAAAACACTGCTATGACCATCCTCGTATGAATTACTCCCCATTTAATGATGGTAAGGTGTATTCGAAACGTTCACATTTCTTTTGTAGGTTCTTTCATTTATTAACTGTAATGATTTTTAAATGATAGTCCCTATTCGCGAAATGTATTTATAATGTTAAGACTCTTGGCTATTGTAAGAAGTAAGATTTGTTAAAGGAGCGAATAATTCAAATACTAAAGGCGATGTATTTTTTTATAAAGTGAAGAAATAAGAAGTATATAAAATGTAAGGAATACAAATACAAGGAGATTTGATATAAAACGTTAAAAATCCAGTTACATAAATACAACTTAAAATCACCAATATACATTTCATGTATATATGTCAAGCTTTAATGACTTGGAATCCTAAACTATTCAAAGACGACAACAGAAAAGTTGATGACCTATCTTATCTTCATTAAACTGCGATAAAAATTGAAATACCTATTACATATGAAAATGGATTTCTTACTTGTTTGTATAATTTGTATGGTAATATTTAATGATGCTCTGTGTTCAACATACTATCAAACATGTAAGTCTAAATTGTTGCGTGTTTTTTTTTGTGTATTTTACTTTGCCTCTATAAATGCGTTAACAAAGTTCAGTAATAACTTGGAGATAAAGAAAACAAAACGAAAAGGTTGTTTAGTGTATATAAACTACCAATCCGATTATGGGTCACAAAATAAATGAATACGAGATATCAGGATATAGATACGGTATTTTAAGTTTAAGTTTTTACAAGTCATATGCCGTCATTTACGGATCGTTTTATTGTATACCATTTCCCATCTACCCGTCCGTCCGCCGGTTTGTCTGGCGTCCACACTTAGTGAAAAATCCAGAGATTGTTTAATAAAATATCACGACACTTATATTGAATAATAGAATCAGTGGGAGAAAGCTCCCTTTCATTTCTTTTGGTTTGTCGTTCTAGAGTTACGGGAGTTTTAACTATCAGATTTAGGACAATTTTCACATATTGCACACTTACTCGAGTATGCTCGGATAGATTTACTCAAAACTTGAAACTATTGGTGGGATACCTTAAGGTGGTACCTAACACTACAGGGAGATAACTCAAGTAAAAGGGAGTAAAATCAGCTAAACGTTTTAATTATGTTGTGTTGTTAAGGGAATATTAAGCTTCTCAATGATCAAAGTTAGTGTTTGCCAACAGTCTAATTTTTCTGATAAATTGGTTGGTTCAAATTTTTAGAAATTTTTATATTTTTGTCAAAGGGTCAAAGTAAATACTTTGTCAAAATTTTATGAAAATTAAACGAGCCAAATTAATTTTAGTGAAGGTGTTGGGTACCACCTTAAAGGCAAGATCCTGTTCAATTTTGAAATTTTCCAATTTGCCATTCAAGAGTTATAGGACTTTAACCGTCAGATTTAAGACAATTTTCACATGCCGAACATTAACTCAAGTATGCTTTGATCAATGTTCTTATTTATATACATTGTAGACCCAACGATTTCCTCCTAAAAGTTTGTCTGCAGGGCTATTTTTGCTGACTGTAGATTGCATGTCTTCTACAATATTCAATTTAATATTCTAGTCTTCCGTTTTTGTGAGTTATCGTATTATTATCGTAGTGAAATCATCATAGGAATCTAGAACAGTTGAAAAGAAATTTTACCACACTGGTTAAAAGTTATTTTGAAACCACAATTATATACTTTTAAAATAAACCTGTTAAACGATTTCATATAAATTATGCATGCAAATGCGTATTGTCTTATTCCATTTTTGTATCGAGAAAATTGTAGAATTTTACATCGATATTTCAAAGATGTTAATCTATACTGCATATTTATAAAATAATGGGTAAAATTCATACAGAGTCTAAAACCATTTCCATAAACTAAAATGTCAGTGTTCTTCATAGTCACAATACAATTTCAAGAACTTTACCTATTTTTAGGAACTAAGATTTTCGGGAAATCAGGTCTACTCATTTTCTTCTGAACTTTTCAACATAAAAGTCTTTTAGTGAATATAACGATTTAAAAATGATGTTCGTTCCGGTTAAACAGTTAAATATTTTTTTCTAATTTTTAGTCACCTATAATATTAAGGTATTTGGCTCCATGATGAAGACCGTCAGAGAGATCTTTGAATATTCATTTTATAGGACTTTTCTATTTCTATTTTATTATTTGATCTATCCCTGGGCGATTGGATGGTGTTTCATCTCATCTATATAGTATTTTAGTGGACTCATTACTTTGTGAGTCAACGGTTCTCTAAATAATGGCGGAATAATATTACTAAAGAACAGAACAGAACGGTAACTTATTAATAAGTCATAAAGAAAACTTTGTTTCAAATGTTACATTTATGAATATTTCAAATACTCAATATTCTTTAACACGATATTAACCCGAATAATTCAGTCGTTATATTCCTCTGCTCTACGATGGCTACATTAACCTCGCGAGTGGGAGAGTCGATCACGGGGAGGGACTGAATTATTCGGGTTAACACGATATTAGAGTCTTTGATATTTGTTTTCTTTAAAATTTCAGATTATATGGAGGATTTTTGTAAATACCAAATTACTATAAAAGACCCAGTAATACTCTCATTGACTAAGTCATTATTTTATGACCATGGGTACAGATGTTCCATCAGACTTAAAGCTCCCCGAGATCACGTGGTATCAATACAGTTTACTAGATTTGATGTCGGTCATCCCCATATGGTATACTGTGACGACAGTTTACATGTATTTGATGGTAGGTCAGACTTTCTTAATTCAGTTTTGTTTATACAACTAAAGAGAGGCGAAAGATACCAAAGGGACATTCAAGCTCATAAAGTCGAAACTTAACTGACAACGCAATGGCTAACAGGCAAACAACAGTACACAAAACACAACATAGAAAACTAAAGACTGAGCAACACGAACCCACCAAAATCAGGGGGATGGATCTCAGGTGCTTTGGAAGGGTAAGCAGATCCTGCTCGAAATGTGACACCCGTCGTGTTTAAGGTTTAAGATTTGTTATCAAAATTAACGAAAAACAATCTATCAATTAAAGAACACAACTATCATCGTAATATACGCAATATTCAGTTTATATTTTAAGCTTAACTGTTTTAAGCAGAGACGTATACTTGTGGTATCATATATGTCTGTGTTCCAACGATAAGTAAATCATCATTAAATTTTCCATTATATATTTGTATGCAAAAGGTTCATCTGTTTTCATTTATTTTACCCATAAATTGGGACGGTTCAACCACCGTGTCCGACCGTCCGACCGTCCGTACAATAATGGTTTCGTCACGTTTTTCTTAGAAATAATAGCAAAAAATGACTGCGTATGGGGTCAGCAGCTTGAAAATGATGAAATGTAACGTGTGAGCATTTTTCGGATCTATACGCCTATAAAAAAAATATTAGATACACATGTACATTCATGATTTATAGACTTTTTTGTATCGGTCCTAGTTTGTCGTCTTTTTGTACTGCTTTTAATGAATACAAATAATTTTCATTGTTACTTTTGAATTGATAATTAAAAATGAATAGATTAACGATTCTATGTCTTTACTTGTACCGATTATATAGCCTTGTGTAGCGCCAAATTGCGCTTAGCTATAGTTTGAAATCTGCTGAAATGATTGCATGAAGAGTAGCATTTTCACTTTCTTACTTACTTACTTAATCAATTATGGGTATATAATGCTTATAGTTTTTTTTTTCAATTTAGGTGAGGACGAAGATGCAGACGAAATAACTGCATCAAAAGGTCTTTGCGGTGTAACTATTCCTCGACCACTTGTATCTTCAGGACGAGACGTCATAATAAAGTTTAAAAGTCGGTATATGAGTATTGGTACTGGATTCCAAGCAGTAGTAACTCCTATGCAAGGTTTGTATAAAAACCGGTAGCGTAACCATAAATAGAAGGTGCATCATTATAAATAAAAGGAGAATCGTTAAAAGTTAAAGACTTCTTAACTCCATTATTTTTAGATTAAACGAAAGCTGTTTACTAAATACAACAAAGGTCCTTAGTCTGCATTGGAAACATTATTTAATTGTTAGTTGTTATTGGCTTTGGAATAACTTTCAGCAACTGCAAGTACTCTTAGATCGGTACGTATTGTCCTTAACCTTTAAATTTTTTAGTTGTTTTTTATCTTTGTGTTGCTCTGATGAGTCCATCCTTTTCCAACTGATTTTTACAGTTTGATCTTATGTTGTGCTGGTACACCACTGTCCCAGGTTAGAGAAGGGTTGAGTGCTCACAAAAAAGTTTAACCCCGCCACATTCTTTATGTGACTGTTCCAAATCTGGGGCATGTAACTCAGCGGTTATTGTTTGTTGCTGTCTGTCATAATTGTTTTTCGTGTTTTGTTTTGTCATAAATGAGGCCATTGGTTTTCTCGTCGGAATTGTTTCAATTTTGTCATGTCGGGGTTCTTTATATCTGACTATATATACGATATGGGTTATACCCATGCATTTGTTGAAGGCCGAACTGAGACCTTTGGTTACTTTCATCTACGCAAGTTTTATTCTGGTGGATGTGTCGTTGGCAAGTTCTCATTTTTATAAAAGTGCTTTTATTTATTTTGCTGTAGGGGTATGAAAAATGTGGTTAATTTTCTCTAAGAACTTTTATAGAAAAAAATTGCTAGAGGAATTCAAAAGTAGAGAAACTTAAATTGTTAGTAAGGACGCACTTAAAAAACTAAGAACCCGTAAGAACATTAATTTTTATATCTTATTGTAAAATGCAAGAATATTATTTTTTTATTACGGAATTCAAAGATATTACCATCAAAAGCGGAGTTCAAAGTAAAAATCTAAAAGATTTTAATTCGATTCAAATTAAATTTCTTGCATAAGGGAAATTGTAAATGTCACGTCCAATCTCAAACAGGAATAACAAAAAATGCAAAGAACCATACATCATCTAATTCTGACAAACAAATGCAGGGGTTGATTAAAACTGTGATACTGTTTTTATCACACTTTGATCTTTTTCAGAAACAAGCTAGTCATACTTCGATTATTCAAATCAAATTAACGCATTGTATTGTGTAAAAATTTATACTACTAACATGACTGAAGCACTGACATAAGTGCGAACGCTTGTCCAAAATGTATACTACTTACATGACTGAAGCACTGACATAAGTGCCAACGATGGTCCAACATGTATACTACTAAAATGACTGAAGCACTGACATAAGTGCCAACGATGGTCCAAAATTTATACTACTTACATGACTGAAGCACTGACATAAGTGTAAACGATGGTCCAAAATGTATACTACTAACATAACTGAAGTTCTGATATAAGTGCCAACGATGGTCCAAAATTTATACTACTTACATGACTGAAGCACTGACATAAGTGTCAACGATGGTCCAAAATGTATACTACTAACATAACTGAAGTTCTGATATAAGTGCCAACGATGGTCCAAAATTTATATTACTAACATGACTGAAACACTGACATAAGTGTCAACGATTTTGTGGTTTAAATTGATATAGTAAATAATATATACTATATATTGTAAGATATACATGTATCCTGCAGAACGCCGATTTCAGACTATTCAAATTTCCTCAAACAGGTTTTTAATGATTGAAAGTTTTATAAATTTAAAAATATGTATTACATATAGTTGTTATTGCCCTTGAACTAGCTTTCAGGTATTGCGAGTTCTCTTAGATTGGTACTTTTTGTCTTTAGTTATTTTGTTAGTTCTTTTTAATTTACTTTTGTGTTGCTCTGATGAATCTAGCCTTTTTCATCTGATTTATACAATTGTGCTGACACACCTCTGTCACAGGTTAGGGGCGGAATTAGAGTTCGCAAACAAGTCTAACACCGCCACATTATTTATGTGCCTGTCCCAAACCAGGAACCTATAATTCAGCGGTTGTCGTTGGTTGCTGTCTTTCATAATTGTTTTTCGTTTATTTTTGTTTTCATAAATTAGGCCGTTGGTTTTCTACGTCACTTGTACTCTGGTGGATATTTTTCATTTATTGGCAATGTACCACATGTTCTTATTTGCATAAAGGTGCAAGCATATATTGCATATGAATACAAAGAAATATGAAAAAATAATTAAACAGCGACCCAAAAAACACAACAAAAAGACATCTAGAGATCAACCTGTATTTAATTAAACAGCAAACATTATTTTGCTGTGTATGAAATGTGCGGTTCATTTACTCTTAGGGCTTTTATAGATAATAATTGTTATATGAATTTAAAAGTAAAAAACTAATTGTAGAGCTCCATACTGACATAGTGAGAAATTACTATGAGTGACAATAAATTGAGTATTTAAGAATATATACAGCTGTCAAGGACGCACTAAAAACTAAGAACCCGTAAGAACATAATTATACATGTATCTAATTGCAAATTGCAGGAACGGATTTTCATACGGAATTGAAAAGCGGAGGTCAAAGTAAAAAAAAACTAAAAGATTTTAATTCGATCCCAATTACATTTCTTGCATATCGGAAGCGGTAAAGGTTATGTTCATTTTTGAATAGGAATTACAAAAAATTACAAAAGAATAAAATTGAGAATGGAAATGGGGAATGTGTCAAAGAGATAACAACCCGACAGAAGAGCAGAAAACAGCCGAAGGCCACCAATGGGTCTTCAACACAGCGAGAAATCCCGCACCCGGCGGCGGGCTTCAGCTTGCAATGTGTACTAGTCAGTGAAAATGGACGTCATACTAAACTCCAAAACATATAAATGAACTAAAATTAAAAAAACATACAAGACTAACAAAGGTCATAGGCTCCGGACTTGGGACAGGCGTAAAAATGCGTCGGGGTTAAACATATTTTGTGAGATCTCAACCCTCAATAGAATGAAACCATTTCCGATGAAAACAAACGCCAGAGTTCATTAGAATCTGCTGTTATACTTTTTAATAAGCAAGTGCGCCAAATTACTATTATTCATATTAAATTAATGCATTGCATTGTGTCAAGGTATTTTAAACACTTAATTATAATTAATCTATAATGTAAAAAAAAAATATTTGTTTCTAACACATCAATGGCAACAACAAAACACTACCATAAAAGATAAAATTCTAAATATAATATTCACGAGTTGTTGTTGGTTGCTGTCTGCCATATTTGTTTTACAATTATTATTTTGTTACAAATTAAGGCATTGGATTTCTCGTTTGAATTGGTTCAAATTTTGTCATGCTGGGACCCTTTAAAGCTGACTATATTATACGGGTTTTGCTCATTGTTGAAGGCCTACGGAAACGTGTGATTGCTTATATCGGCGTCATTTGTACTCTGGTGCATAGTTGTCTCATTGGAAATAATACCACATGTATAAAGGTGATACAATTTATTGAATATGCATAAAAACAAAAATATGAGTAAATAATAAGACAGCGACCCATAATCAGAAATTAACCAAAAAGACATCTAGAGATCAACCTGTATTTAATTATACAATAAGTATTAATTTACTGGATGGGCATAAAATATGCGGTTCATTTATTAGAAGGACATTTATGGATAATAATTGTTATAGAAATTTAAAAGTAGTGACACTTATTGTAGAGCTCCATACCTAAATGGTAAGAAAAAGAGAGGCGAAGGGTACCAAAGGGACATTCAACTTCATAAGTCGAAAATAAACTAACAACGCCATGGCTAAAAACGAAAAAGACAAACAGACAAACAACAGTACACAAAACACAAAACACAACATAGAAAACCAAAGACTGAGCAACACGAACCCAACCAAAAACTGGGGTACTCTCAGGTTCTCCGGAAATTTAATTAAAGGTAAGCAGATCATGCTCCACATGTGGCACCCGTCGTGTTGCTCATTTTAGTACAAACTCGCTGATAAGTCTAATTCGGTAGGCCACATTCGGGGAAAAGGGGACGGGATTGTAGTTACGACAATTGGAACGTATCCGTTGTCATCGGTGAAACGGATATTCCATAACGGTTAACCGGCTCGTAAATTTACGAAGGAACGATTTCAACTCTTGGTTTAATAGCTTTTTTTGTGAGCAGCAATCCTCTATCAAGGAAATCATGATAGAAAATACACAAGCCCTGGAATATCGTATCAACTAGGAGCTATATACTCCGTATGCAGGCGCTGCTGGGATTTTGATACATATACATGGAAAGTATACAACTGGGAAGCTGAAATCATCTCTTTTGTCGTAAAGTTTAGTTTTCAACCGACCATCATTGTCAATTTCTAGATATAAGTCAAGATATGAGACAGACTTAACTGTATCTGTTGTATCCTTTTATCTCAAGTTCGATGGGATAGATGCATTCAACATAGTCACTAAATTCTGAATTATTTAGCTAAGAAATTACTAGGAGCGATAATTAATTGAATATTTATGTAAACGTTCCGTTATCAACTAAAAACTAAAAATCCGTAAGAGCATGTACATATTTCTCATTACAAAATGCAGAAATGGATTTTCATACGAAATTCAAAGATGTTAGCATCAAAAGCGGAGTTCAAAGTAAAAAATCTTAAGATTTTAATTCGATTCAAAACGATATAAATATAATTTCTTGCATATCGAAATCTGCAAAGGTTACGTCCAATCTCAAATAGGAATGAAAATAGAATACAAAGAAACATACTGCATATATTTCTGATGAAATCAAATGTCGGAGTTTATTAAACTCACGAAAATTGTTTTAGCACTCTTTGAATCTTTTCAGAAACAAAAGGATCAAATTTCGATTATTCTAATTGAATCAATACATTGTATTGTGTCACGATACTTTGAAACACTTAATTATAATTAATCTATAATGTAAAGAAAACTTCTTTGTTTCGACGACAATAATGCCAACAACCAAACATAACTATAAAAGATCAAATTCTAAATATATTAAAGTTAGCTTATCAGTTGTGTAGTTAATAAATCAGTGTAGAAACTGCTTTTTTTCCAAAATGTATTCTTCTCAAGCACTGAATATATAGTGCGACAGGTGCTTTTGGTGAAAATAAGTGTCGATGGTTCTATGGTTAAACTTACTATAGTCAATGCAATATAATTTCTATTGTAAGATATACATGTACCAAGTAGGACGCCGATTTCAAACTATTCAAATTTCCTCAAACAGGTTTTAATTTCATAAAATTTTATTGATTATACGACCGGTGATTATACGATAGTTATAATGAGTTTCAGGGTGTTACACCCCAGTTCTATTGTTATACTTCATAGTTTCTATTTCTGAAACAAGTGAAGATTGAATAGATCTATTGTTACGAATAACAATGGATTTTGACCACAGGGTGTGACGAGCGGGGTTTCTGGAAACCCCTGCTTTTACATCCCGAAAACAAAGTCCATTGTTATTCATTACAATAGAAATTGATTATTTTTTAAATAGCATGAGCATAAGAAATTACTAATAGTGTTCACTACAAGTTGTTTGAAGATATTAAAAAACACATTTTAGGAAATTCCAATAGCGAAAAAAATATTAAGCATCTATTTTGAATAAAAAAAATCCTTCAAGGGAAAAATAATTTGATTGATAGCGTTGAAAAACTAAATAAAATTGTTCGCGATTTGCGAGAAAAAAAATTTCTGACTCCGACAAAAAACCATAGCCCCTCCCCCCCCCCCCCCCCCCCCCCCCCAACCCTTTAAAGTTAAAATGGTTGCTCCCTAAATCCCTAAATACTCCTTTGCTTGAAGGTAAAATATTTGATCCCAGTCATATGTCTCTATTATAAAGCATTGATCTTAAAAAAACAGGGATTCTAACTCCCGGACCCCCCCCTGGATCCCGGTCGTCGGGTTTCTAATCCAGACACACCTATCCCTCAGTGTGTCCGAATATGAATGTTTGTTTATTCTCGAGAAAGAGGGGGGGGGGCTTCTTTTTTTTTTTTTATAAAACCGTAACATAAAAAATACATTTATGATTACCTTCATTAAACTGATACAGGTAAGTACTTTGGGTTATAATATTGCCTTTATCTTTAGTCTCTTCTACCAAATCCAACGCTTGACTTAAAATGTCGTCCGTCTTATACCCGTCCATATTGACAACTGCATACAAGGAGCATGATGTATTTTTTTTTTTGTGATAAGAATGCACGAAACGGTCAACCTTGAACTTCTGATCCATATTAGCACCAGGATTTAACGGGAATATGCAAAACAGCAACTTTGATATTTGTAAAATCTACTCACTTGTCAAAGTTTGAAAGAACATAGCCAAAGTAAGGTTACGAGTGGGGTTTCATGTAAAAAAAAATGTTTCTCTTATAATTCATGGTTCGATTTTGTCAATAAATATGCTATTCATTCTTTTTCATTTGATAATCAATGTTAACAAATATAGGGTTTAGCATTGGGTGTAAGTTAGTTATACACCTCGGGATACGGCGTGTCTGGATAAGAAACCCCTCCGGCCGTCGGGGTTTCTTATCCAGACACACCTATCCATCGGTGTATAACTATTACGGAATATGTAAAACAACTTTGACATTTGTAAAATATACTCACTTGTCAAAGTTTGAACGAAGATAATCAAAGAAATGTTACTAGTGGGGTTTCATGTAATAAAAAAACTTCTTATAAATCATGGTTTGATATTATCAATAAATATGCTATCGTTTTTTTCATTTTTTTTTTTCATTTAATAATCAATGTTAACAAATATAGGGTTTAGAATGGGGTGTAAGTTAGTTATACACCTCGGGATACGGCGTGTCTGGATAAGAAACCCCTCCGGCCTCCGGCCGACGGGGTTTCTTATCCAGACACACCTATCCCTCGGTGTATAACTATTACTTCTATCCAACGCGTTTTAACTAGCGAACCGTAGCGAGTCAGAAACACTTGGCTCTCATTTGCATGATTCCAACTCATTCCTATAAATATGATATAAGTATCATGTAATTATTATTTTTTTTGGCAGCTGATGAGATAATCAGATGTGACAAATCATTATTCCAATGTGGAGATGGTTACTGTATTAACAAGACGTATGTGTGTGATGGGTACTATAACTGTATGAATGAAAAAGATGAATCAGCAAAGTTTGCTCATTGTCCAGGTTTGTAAGTTATAGAATGACATGCTATGTATTAAACATTTTGGTGACATGCAATGTATACAGTGTCAATCTTTACTATAAATTCAGGATTCCTGGATGTAAATTTTATAAAGTTCGCCACGGTGCACATATCATATACTACTTTCATTCGTTTTCTATCTATCTATTCATTAACAACAGTGCACACGCTTAAATGTCTCGCCTTCTTTACTAACCATTGATTCTATGTTGATAGTCCTAAATATAAAGCTTTACTACAAGTAACACATAAACTTAACATGATCCAAGAAAATGAGGTCAAGGTCAGATAAACCAAACAAGAAATACATGTACACCTTACAATCATTCAATAAACCAAACATAGTTGACCTATTGCTTATAATTTCTAAGAAACAGTCTTAACCAAGAAAACTTAACATTGACCAATGAACCATGAAAATGAGGTCAAGGTCAGATGAACCATGCCAGACAGACATGTACACCTTACAATCAATGTATGCATTAAATATAGTTGACCTATTGCTTATAATATCTAAGAAACAAACTTAACCATGAAAACTTAACATTGACCAATGAACCATGAAAATGAGGTCAAGGTCAGATGATACCTGCCAGACAGACATATACACCTTAAAATCCTTCCATACAACAAATATAGTTGATCTATTGCTTATAGTTGAAGAAAAACAGACGAAAACACAAAACCTAACACTGAGAAATGAACTGTGAAAATGAGGTCAAGGTCAAATAAAACTTGCGAGACTGACATGTACATCATAAAATATTTCCATACACCAAATATAGCTGACCTATTGCATATAGTATTAGAAAAAAGACCAAAACTCAAAAACTTAACTTTGACCACTGAACAATGAAAATGAGGTCAAGGTCAGATGACACCTACCAGTTGGACATGTACACCTTACAATCATTTCATATACTAAATATAGTAGACCTACTGCTTATAGTATCTGATATATGGGCTTGACCACGAAAACTTAACCTTGTTCACTGATCCATGAAATGAGGTTGAGGTCGAATGAAAATTGTCTAACGGGCATGAGGACCTTGCAAGGTATGCACATACTAAATATAGTTATCCTATTACTCATAATAAGAAAGAAATAAACATTACAAAAAAAGTTTACTTTTTTTTTTCAAGTAGTCACTGAACCATGAAAATGAGTCAAGGACAATGGACATATGACAGACGGAAACTTCATATCATAAGGCATCTATATACAAAGTATGAAGCATCCATGTCTTCTAGCTTCTAAAATATAAAGCTTTTAAGAAGTTAGCTAACGCCGCTGCCGCCGCCGGATCACTATCCCTATGTCGAGCTTTCTGCGATAAAAGTCGCAGGCTCGACAAAAATTATAACACTCATTTAGGTGACATGTAATGTATAGCGTCCGCCATTCATATTGAGAATTCCTTTATGTACATTTTACACAGGCGCTTTTCTCTGAAAAAAACCCTATATACCTTAATTTAACGCGTTATATTAAGGTAGATAGGTATTTTTTCGAAACAAGTGCCTGTGAAATTTCACATACTAGTACTGATTTGTTACGGTGCACATATTATATCATGACTATAAATGAACGATTTCAATGTTGACATGTGACACTGGAATACATATCTAGAAAGCTAAATACAAATATGCATTTTTATTATATAAAAAATGTCCAGGACTTCGTTTTTAGTAAATGTCGTTAGGGAATATAATATAATGGAAAATGAGGGAAAGGGATTTTTTTCATCAAACTACAGAACATATCTAAATGCACATTACATGTCACTTTGGTATCTTCCGTCTCTCTTTGCACAATACTCAAAGCTTTTTTTTTTCAATTGGCAGCCATTATCCTAAATGACACAACATTTCATTAACGACAAAAAGGTAAACAGGATACTGTAAGGTCACCAACAAATAAAAAAACTTGACGTAAGCACGCAAATTCAATATTATACAATTCAACGGAGAAATGACGACACCAGCGTTTTTTTTTTTTTTTTTTGCAAGTAACGACAAGGACAATGTTTACGAGCGGTTGAGATTATGAACCAAAATTCATAACACTCAAAGTGTTTCATGAGAGTTTGAATTACTAAATGTTAGACGGGAATGAAACCCTGACATTTTCGGGAATAAAACCCTGACATTTTTAAACGTCCTGCTTTATAACTTCCTTTGTATCCGGACATTAACAATACAGGCCTTGTAAAAGAAACAACAACGAAACCTGTGAATCCAATTTTCATTCATGCGTGACAAAATTCAAATTCACCGGCAATTTGATCAATTGTAGCAAATACTTTTCTGCATTTTCACTACAGGACAATAACAAATTAAGAATAAATCTGATAGTATAGTCTGCAAAGTGGTACGATCGGGCTTAAGGGTTGGAAAGGATATAATTTTAGCCTCGCAACAGGCAACCTAAGGTCCCCTCAAAGAGTTGTTTCAATGTTTATTTAACGAACAGATAGCGTAACACTCTCCCCAAAACGAGGCTTCAGATTTAACAACCCCATTCCAACCGAACGAGGTTACGTATTTAAACATCACTTTCATTGTTGTTCTTCATCTTGACCATTACTTGAAAATCTTTTACGAACTTGCATCATACAGCAAGTCTGAGAAGGCCCCTTTGTCTTCCAAAACGAGTACAGTACTGTTATATATTTAGTATATAAAAAAATGTGTGCGTGCATCTAAACAGGTTCTGACCAAACCAATTTGATAATATTTTTAAAAAATCACACCAAGTTCAATTTTATCATACTATGACCTTGAATTTTAAAAAATGTCACAATTAACTTCATATTCGTAGGAATTAAACTAATGTCATTTAATTTCAGGCGTTACAGCGGTATGGACTGATTTCTCTCGGTTAATGAAGATTTCCTTTGGAGTTTTATTAGCACTGAGTGTACTGTCGATTGCTGGTCTGGCAATATTTTTTACTAACCGAAAAGAACAAAAACGATACAAAGTGGATCACAAGAATTAACTTCAATATGAATTATAGTATTTCCTGTATGTCAGTTTTATTTTGATTTACTGTACGAATAAACTGACAAAACAAGAATGTATTATTGTTTAACGTCACGGGAATATCAGTTATCCTTATCGATTAAATACAGAATTTTGCAAAAGATTCGGCGTCGTATTTCTCTTTTTTTTAGGTTTGTCTTCAATGTTATTTTAACTTCACTAGCCCTTTTATGAATATAAACCGCCTCGGTTTTCTCGTAGTAGCGTGCTCGGTCGGAGCTTTGAGACATTTTCGTGGACTCGATTCCCGGTCAGGTCAAAGATAAGACCTGAACAATTGTAAATGCTGCTTCTCCGCTAAGCATCTGGAAATTTGGTCGCATACCGCAAGATTTATAAAACAAATGTAGACGAGAATCGCGAAATAATTTCTAACATAGTAGGAACAAGAGAAGTAAGGACATTGCACTAGAGAATTTGATCAATAATTGGTGAAAAAAAATGTTTGCTTTATTGCAAATGATAGGAATGCACTTAATGACTTTTGTGAAGTAACGTTATCAACAAATGCGGAAGTAGTCACAGGAGAAAATCAAATTGTTGATAAACTTCTTGTTGACGAAGTTTTTCTGTTTCTGTTTCTGTTTGTATAAAAATCGTTAAATATTTGACTTAAAGGAATATTACAGAAACTTGTGATATAACTCGCATCAGGATTAGCATTTCAGTGCACAAAAGTATTTCATAACTGACTAATTCATAACATGTACGTTCTGATCATGACTATAAAGCATGGGTTAATGCAGTTGCTAAATCCTATTATAACAACTGCATGAGAGTAAATAGAAATAATCTCAAAGCTTATATATGACATTTGGAGCGCACACAGGACATGTTACGTTTGAACATAGGTTTCAGTAGTAGCATTTACAAGAAATTTACATACTTTCCTCATTGATTTGGTCGGACTTAACTGAACTAATCAAACTAGAATTGACTTTTTTGCACTTCTCACATAACTACGTCAATAATCTTTGATTACAGACTAGGGAATAACAAATATTATATCAAAAGGCTGTTGCATGAATTAATATTGGTGAATATTGTTCCGAGTAGACTTTTATAGTGCACACGCTTGTGAGCTTGCGAGTGCAATGTGATATACTCAGAGGGAAAATATTTCTCAATATAAGTGCAATCTTCTTTTTATAATATAAAACCAAACTATTTCAACATCATTGATGATGCTTCGTCCAATTGTAAAGACAAAATTTTTATTAGAACCTAGTTGCGTGCAAATATCGAAATATCGTTTTATTCGGAACCTCTCTAGTGCGTACAAACTTTCAACAGGAAGTATAGAATAAAATGTAGGTCAAGATACAATATTATCACTCATCCCCAATTCTCTACTTTTTTGAGGAAAAAAATATTGTAGGGTCATTCCTAGTTGGATTTTAGTCAACTTGGTACCAATAGAAGCAGAATTGTCACAGCAAAAGGCCACATATGAACTCATTAAATACTTGCAGGTGTTTTGAGCGCCGAGAGCGTAGGACACATACTACATCATCGGATTACGTCCCAATTCTGACTGGACAGCCAAACGAACTTCTCTCTGTAGTATAAGTTTAACTGATGGGTAGAAGTCCAGATGACCATATTTCTGTACTCCTGTCAACCCTTGTCATTTATAAAATTAAATCAGTTGAAGGTACCGTTTGGTAATGATTCTTACCACTAATATCTATTTCTAAAAGTAACAATGGATTATTACAAAAGGAAGAGGGTGATCAAGCAATACTATTGGACAATAGTTTTGAATATTTTGTCAGTAAGCAATGAGAATTGGATATAGTTTACAAGAATATAATCGATAATCTTTCATTTACCGTTTTAGTCCAGATATTATAAGTTAATATAAAGGAACGTTGACATTGAAATATTGTCAACTCTGTTGAACATAGAAAGTTTAACGATTTTGCTAGTAAATCTAACATATTCTTTTAATTCAAATATTTAAGTAGAAGATGTTCCTGCAGTTTGGAAGAAGCTGGATCACCACAAACAAAATTTAAATAATTTAGAAAAAATTAAAGCATTCTTCCCACACTTTCTCTATTATCATTTATTTTTTGTCTTGATCCTTCCTTTTTGGTAACAAAAAAAAAAGAAGTTTTAAAACATCATACATGAGGACAAATTTTACTACCATAGGGAACATTAAAAACAAATCTTATCTTCTAAAGCAATTAACAATCTAGGGAGGAAAATAAGTCACGTGGTGAAATCAATCTTTAATATTATTTATGATATTGGTGAAAGGAGAAAAGTCATGACGAAAAGTAATTATGAGCCCTATTTTGTACTGTGCAGCGGATTCATCAAAACATACTGTGTCTTATACATGTACAACGAATTCATCAAATCATACTGTGTCTTGTACATGTACAACGAATTCGTGAAATCATACTATGTCTTGTACGTGTACAACAGATTCATAAAATCATACTGCAACTAGTGCATACACAGTTACACAGTGGATTCTTTAAAAACACACTGTGTCTTGTACATACATTACGGAATACCAAAATAATAAAATCATTCTGTGTCGCAGTCGACGTCTAAAGCGCTTTTCAAAATTAACTTTCACCAGGAACGCTGAAAACCGAATATTTGAAAGCCAAGGATGTATAAGAACCAAAATATGTGAAGAGTAATTTTATCTAAAGGGACCTAAACATTTAAGTCAACTTTGCCTGAAGTAGTTGGAAGCTTATTTTCTTAATGATTTCTAAACTTATAAAAAAGGTTTGTTTCAGATATATATATCATCGATAACTACATGATATAAAGCAAAACGAATAAGCACATTATATAATAACAATAGCGATAACGGTACCAATTTTACTATAAGCACTTGATAAATAATAAAACCACAAAATATAATAATGAAAGCATTCAAATAAGAAATTATCCACATAATATAACAAAAAAACCACATAATATAATGAAGTAACTACATAATGTAATAATGAAAGTACTTACAACGTATAAAGAACAAGAATGTGTCCATAGTACACGGATGCCCCACTCGCACTATCATTTTCTGTGTTCAGTGGACCGTGAAATTGTGGTCACAACTCTAATTTGGCATCAAAATTAGAAAGATCATATTATAGGGAACATGTGTACTAAGTTTCAAGTTGATTGGACTTCAACTTCATCAAAAACTACCTTGACCAAAAATTTAATCTGAAGCGGGACAGACGGACGAACGGACGGACGAACGGACGAACAAACGAACGAACGCACAGACCGAAAAACATAATGCCCCTAGGTGGGGCATAAAAATACATAATACCAATCAAAGAAAACCACTACTTTTAAGACAGTCATATCAACCTCTTGCTGAAAAAGATTTTCAACCAACATTAACTTTCTTGAATAAGACAGTTTACAGCAAAAGGTCACTTTGGTTAAACTCTGGCTCCTATCTACATATGATTTACAAGATATCAAAGTGACACTCTTGTGGCAGTTACTTTACTTTTCAGTAAATGAAAGATGTTTGAAGAAAATATATAAAATATATAAGATAATATTTTTGAAAAACAAATACTTATATATAACAGACTAAGGTCTTGTTACCGTCTGAAATATGCTGTGTGACAGATTAATATAACTTTTTGATTTTAGAATTTCAAGGGGCCAAAAAGTGACTTTACTTGCATCTTTTTGTCATCATCAATATTTTACAATATTTCCTGAAATAAATATTACCACCAACAACCTCCAAACTACAAAAAACGCATTAAACAATATGTACAGTAAAAACCGAATTCGACAACATTGACATATTAGACAAACGTTAAAGAACAAACGAAAGCAGGTATGAGAAGTTATTTGCGTTGTCTAATTTTTCAGCATTTCTTTCAAATAGTTCATTGTCCATGTATCAACACCAGCACATGAAAGAACGTCCCAAATGATTGTAACATGATTATAATTATAAAAATTTAGTCCATTATAATATATATCAATAGCTGTATCTCCAGCCAAATCATACAAACATGTCCCTATGTTAGCCAGCTGCTTCCAAACACATTTAATGATATACATGGAGCATTTTACGTTTCGATCAGGGTCATCATAGTAACTGTAAAAACAGTAGGTTTCTGGAATGCAGGCCATAACTATTTTTACACCTGGAACATTCATCATAACACCACCGACAAATTGTCCTGCGTTAGAAATGAATCTGAGGAAAGCTTTCGCATCAAATCCCCTTGCAATGGCATTGTTGGAATACGTCTAAAATAGATAAAGTAACCTTGATTTTTTAAGAACATTGTTCGTTGTAGAAGTTGGTTTTTGTAATATTAATTGTGCAATGCAATACATATAAGAATAACGAGAAGTGATATGATTGTCAATGAGACAACTATCCACCAGCAACGGCCTGATCTATGCTAAAAACAACAAACAAAAAACAAATATGACAGACAGCATCCAACACAAGCCACTGAATTATAGGACCCTGATTAGGACAGGCACATTAATGCGTCAGGTTTAAACATATTTGTGATTTTCGATCCTTCCCATAACCTGAAACATGCAGTGGTGTAACAGAATAAAATCAAATCAAACTAAAAACTTGAGTTGGAAAATGTTTGACTTGTCAGATCGGCACCAAGCACAGAGTACTAATAAAAAGAAACAAAATCTAAGAGTACACCCTATTACTTAAAAAAAGTGAGGCAAAAATACTGAACTCCTAGGCAATTTAAAAAGGGGAAGTCCATAAATTGACAAAACCAAGCACTATCAATCAACGGAAAAATTGAAAACAACTGCCATATTCCTGACTTGCTACAGGCTTTTTCAGAAGAAAATTACTTAAAGCTACTCTGAAGCCAATTCCAGCTTATAAATAATCCATGTTTTCTCGGTCTCAAATTTCAATCAGTACACTTCCAACAGACTTTAATATGAAGACATCGTAAACAGTTTGAGAAAAATCATGACCTTCTGCAATGCAAAAATATAGGTATCGATTTAGGATATATTTAGGTATATCAACGGTAAAACTTTTAGAAATTTTGAATCTCGGTCATTCTCTGAAATAAATTCTATCAAAACATTGCATTTACCCGACATTTACACAAAGTTTTTTTTTCAAAACATAAACTGAAATGCTTTCCTCCATGAAATGGAATCATAAGCTACAAATTTATTGTATTGGGATATAATTCGACATATCTACTTAAAAATTGGCCAGAATTTAAAACATGCTATACCAATTATGGAATTGATGTTACGCCAGTTTGAAATACATTGACTCCTCATATCAGTACTCAATGTTGATACATTTCTTTAAGGCACAAATTGCAAACAAGCACTTTATTGGAAGGAAACATGAAAAACGAACACATCGTCATTTGACCTACATAGATATTTAAAACAGTATCTTGTTGGTATGATATCGAAAGTAAAACTAATAATAACTATCAAACAAAACTGTCACAATGTTACGTCATTATTTCATTCTGGTAGTTGACTAACAGTAGAAAAGACGAAGAGAGACAGACAAATGTATGATAAAAATAAAAAAGACAAAAAAACAGTCTACAGAACACTTTGTAAAAAAACTAAAGACTAAGCAACACGAACCCCATCGATGGTGATCTCCAAGCTCAAATTTTGTGTTTTTCAGAAAATCGCATTTGTCATATAAGATCATATAAATGTTGAGTAACTACATTTTCTATAACAAGTCATTCAACGCTAAATACCTTTCCTGTTCCCCCACAAGCGCCACCAGATACTAATATTCCCAGGATGAAAACAAATAGGACGATAAATTTCCCGTTGGCAGCTGCCATCATATATTTAATTTTTGTTTGCATGGAAAACCAGTTTGTTACTTTCGTTTTTTGTATTGATTTCTAGTTCTACTTTCGATATTAAATTAATTAGATAGTATATAGCATATGGGTCAGATAACTTATTTTCTTAAAGTTTTATTTTCTCTTAAGATGACAGCTTTCTTTTCAATAAAGTCTCTGTTCCGTTAAAATAAGTTACCATGAGTATTTCCATCTAGTAGTTGACTTTCAGTAGAAGAATTGAAACTTGATATAAAAACCCATAATTCTTTAGAAGAAATCAGATTTAAAAAGACAGGCGAAAAATACCAAAGGGACATTCAAACCCATAAGTCGAAAAATAAACTGACAACGCCACGGATAAAAAACCTCGAAAAAGACCATAAATCAAACAACAGTGTACAAAACACAACATAGAAAAGAAACGACTGAGCACACAAACCCTACCAAAAACCGGGGATGATCTCAGGTGCTCCACATGGGGCTCCCGTTGTGTTGCTCATGTAAGTAAAAACCCGGTGATAAGTCTAATTCGGTAGGTCAAATTCGAGGAAAAGAGGACGGGAATGGTGTTTCAATAGTTGGAACATGTCCGTCGTCATCTGTGATACATATACTAGTCAACAAAAGAAACGATACACGGCAATGTATTTTCCATTGGATACACTGTACCAAGGTAAATAATTGCCCAATTGGTCTAATATTTACAGAGTCTTATTTTCTTATCAAAACCATTGATTTAAGGCAATTTTGTTTGCAATTTTTGTTATTTATAAAATCGTATTTTCACCCCAAAATTCAAAAATCGATATTAGAACTTAAAACTTTAAACTTAAATATGGTCCGCTTAAACTTTTGAATGCCTTTGCAGATATTTGAATACTTTAATTCTCATCTTCGAAATTAAGTGCCGACTTTTGTCATCATTTTCCGCAAAATAAATTTGACCCCTGTGTTCAATAACAAGGTATTTTCTCACTTTCCAATTTGGTCAGATTCTTTTAATCATATGCAATTGCTTTGCAAATAAATGTTTTTCATTGGAAAAGTTAACTGTTTTTCCTATTTATTATATTTTATGATGAATTGGAGTTCAAACTTGTGTATCGTTACTTTTGTTGACTAGTATATATTCCATAACGGTCAACCAACTCGTGATGGCGTTCGTAAATATATGATAAATATAAATCTATAAAACATGTATTATTTTCTTTTTTGTACTTCAATTTGACTTCGTCTGTTTGTTGCACTTTTAGACTTTTTTGTTTGTAGACGGAAAACTATCTTGAACAAATCAGCATATGGAATTTAACCCTCAAAAAGAGGCGGAAGATACCAAGGGAAGAATTAAAACTCATAAGTCAAAACAGACTGACGCAATCATGACAAAAACGAAAATCAAAGAAAAGACAACAACAGACACGAAAAACTTAGGAATGAGCAACACACATTCTACAAAAAAATGGAGTTGACTTCAATTCTCAAACTTTGTTTTTGTTTTTGTTTTTTTTTTTTTTGGAAAATCAAATTCGCATCTGTAACTACAGTTCCTAACTCCACTGAACAGGACGAAAAATTTATGTTAACGACTGACATATGTTTAATGGTACGGAAAACCCGTTATGTCACAGTCGGTTTGTAATGATTTCTTCTTTTGCTTTCGATATCAAATACACTGGATATGATATAATTGTTCGTAGGTAAGATCACAACTTCTTTATATTAATTTTTAGAGTTTTGAACTTTTCTTTTCAATAAAGTCTCTGGTTGTAATACATTAATAATGTTTCGTTGTCATTCCGTTTTAGTAGATGACTTCACAAGAAGAATGAAACTTGATCAAACAAAACATTGGCGGAAAAAAATCAGTTTAAATAGATTTGATTTTCTTTTTGAACTTCAATTTGACTTTGTTTTTCTGTTCACTTTCAGACATCAGATTTCATTGGTTTTTCTTTTGAAAGCTGGAAAATATCTTGGATAAATGTGCATATGAAACTTATCCGTCAAACTTTTTATTTGGAAGTCATAGTTTTTTAAAGGAAAAGTTTCATTTTAGAATTGTGTCTTGTTTATATCATAATCCAAATAAAATGACCGGATTTCAATAATGTTGTATAAAAGTATAACAAAATTACTGAACTCCAAGGCAAATTCAAAAAGGGGAATTCCATGAAAACTGTCAAAAGCAAACGCTATTCATCAATGGTATGATGACGGCATTACAAGCATGAACATCTTGATCGAATCTTTAGATGTAAGATATTCATTATTTTCGAAAAAAATCTTAATTTTTGTTGAGAAGGGATTGGTTTGGAAAAATTGATTTGCAATATAATACAGAAATAAACATATCTAATAGTTTGGCCTTAAGATTGGGAAGATATGTATTAATGTGTTTGGCGATTCTTTATTAAATATTTTGAAGTCTTGGATTTCTTACGCTGAAAACCCTTCTAATGGTTTGGTCACAATATACAACAATACCTGTTTGCGATATATGTGATTTTTATTTTACGCCTCAACTTTCCAATTGTCAACTTTACATTTCTCAACAGTAACATACCCTCTGCTTCATCGTATGGCATTTACATATCTCAGTTAAAACGTTACGCCTGTGCATGATCACCCTATACAAACTTCATTTACAGGGGTGTGCTCCTTACACAAAAACTTCTCTAACAGAGGTATGAGCATGAAAGACTGAAATCGAAATTATATAAGTTTTACGGTGATAATCACGAATTAGTTGACCGATACGATAAGTCGATGTCTCAACTCATTAGGGACATGTTTCGCAGTCTCACGTCTTTAGATATAAGTATATAGTCCTGCTATCTGTAAATTTACCGATTGTGTTTTATTGCCGATTATGACATTTTGACTGAGTGTGAACTTGCATGACGGGTTGTGCATGGATAGCACCCGGTCTCGCTCCCTTTGGAGTTCATGCGATTCCTTGAGTTTTTGTTTGCAATCTTGATTTGTTTCTTCTAAATACGTGGCTGTAAGCAGTTATGTTCTCATTTTATTTGTTGAGTTTGTACATCATAACTAATGCAAATTGAGAAAGGTACTGACATGCACAATTTTCTCTTCGGTGCATTGTTTATATCAATTTTCCCAAAGAACTGGTCGACACACGGTTTAGAAATCGTTTATTCAAATTCCAACATCAAAGTAGTTTCGAAAAAGATCTATGAGTGAACCGAATAAGAAAACACTAATAAAACACTAAATCGGAACCTGAAACTTTTCATCACTTAACTTTAATTACCGTAATGTGATTCTGAGTGAAAAATAAAGTTGTTAATGTTATTTTTACAGCTGTAACATCTACATAACAGAAAAGTATAACAAAATACCAAACTCCAAGGTAAATATAATACGTACATTGGCGGAAAATAGACCTTTTAAAACCGGAAGTAAAGCAGAACTCGTCGAGAGTTTATCATGTTTCGTAGTGAGTAAAGGTGTAAATGTTATATTTTCCGAAGACAAAAGGATACTAATTCATACTTAAATGTTCCAATTTTAACTCCCAAATCATTTTTTTTTTAAGAAATTGACAGTACTTAGAAGCGAACCGCAAAGATAACAACACAATGAAGTGTGAAAAAAAACGTATTTTTTCTCACAATAGATGCCGGGACAAGGAGAAGCTATTTGTATAGTATACGGATATCGCGAAAGTTTATTTGTAAACCTTCGTTTATACTGCAGTGGCTGATTGCCGGATAAATTGATATAACACTTATGCACCTTTTAAAACGTCAGTAACATTTATGTGTCCCTTCCGTTATTCAATTCTTATATTCGTTTCGATTATCACATTATTATTTGTTCTAATTTACGTGCTATAAAAAAAAACATGAATGCTGTATACTCATTTTACAATACTACTACTTATGCAAATGTTTACAATACAAATTCGTACCACTAATGCGACTGTAAAATAAAATCAGCAACTTAAGCGATTTGGATGTACGAAATAATTAATTACTTTCATTTACTAACACTTGGTTGATACCACTGTTGGTGGATTATTAGGGGTATCATTAACTTGGTGGTCAGTGCTTCGGTACTGATATGATTTATAACAAAATGTTCGTATTTTTTTCTTCATAAATTAAAGATATTATTGAGACACAAAGGTTGCAACTCCCTCAGGCAAAGGTGACGTTAAATGAATTTACCTACTTTTTAGGTTCCTTTTGGTCAAACAGCTCTTCACGTGTTAAGCCCTTTTAAATTTTTGGCTTTAAAAATTTCGGGATTGAGCGTTCCTGACGAAGGTAAATCCAGAAAAGCGACATTGAGGCACAAACAAAAATTGGTGTTTTTCTGCATTTACAACATGTTGCAATGGGTCGATACCAATGCTTGTGATTGTTAGTCCCGAGGGTACCATCAACTCATTAGTGCTTCCGTACTAACACGAGTTATAACAAACTTTTCATAAATTTTTCGTTGATATAGTAAATAAATTATTAAGACAATAAAGTTTCAACTCCCTCAGGTAAACGTGATCTTGGATGAATGTTTCATGTCCATTCTGGACATATAGAACTCTTCACGTGTTAAGGTCTTATACATATTAGGCTTTCAAAATTTCAGCGTTCCTGATGAAGGTAAATCCAGAAAAGCGCTTTGGATGCATGAAATTATTTAACGTGTTGTTTTCATTTTAAAGGCTTAAGGGAAGTCCTAATTGCATTTTTGTGATAAAATTAAATAGCTAGAAAGGTAAAGTGCACACACGTTATCTATTTGTATGTACAAGATTTATTTGTCGACAAATGATATTTACATGTTCTTATTCTAACAGAAAACTACAGTACGTTAGGATTGTTTTTTGTTGTTAAAAGTCATGCATGTAAATGGCTTAATGGTAAATACTGTATAAGTTTTTCTCATTGTTGAAGGCCGTACGGTTGCCTATGATTGCTTGCATACTCTTCATTTGCACTTTGGTGAATAGTTATATATATATATAAAGAAGTCTAAATTGAAAACAACGTTCAAACCTATGATTACGTTGGAT